GAAAAATTTTCTGAAAAGTTTTCCAAAAAATTTTTGGAAAATTTCGAAAAATATTCCGTTATTTAAATTGTTCAAGTCGTTTTCATAATGGATAAACAAACTGAAAGTTCCATAATTTCCGTTAAATACCTCTCTCCATGAACAGACTGATGTCATAATGACGGAAATATCTCGAGACTATCCACAACGTATCTCACCACAAGACTGGTATTTACCCACGAAATAAGAATAATAAATTGTAATACTAAAATGAGAATAATTTTTTACACTTGGGAATAGAATTGACAGGAATAAAGTGGAACATTAAAATGAGCAGACAGAATTAGGCGGAGTGGCGATTGGATAAAGCTAGTCGAAAATCTACAAGAGGGGATAATAAAATTTATAGATGTAAAAAATAGTGTGAACCATTGGGTATATCCAATATATACATTATATGTTTATATGACTTATATGTTTATGATGGTGTGGTCCGATGTTGAATAGGTTTAGGTACATATATAAAGGATATATAAAGGATATATGCCGGGGGCTAGCCGTGCGCGTGGCGAATTGCTAAATGAACAACCGCCATCGTTCCACCACTGGACTCTTCACCATCTTTTATCCTTATCCCTTTTCAGTGGTTTTGTGTATTCGGGTTTATATATCCTGTCCCCGAAACAACCATTCGCAGCTTCAATTTAACTTTTGAAATATATGTTCCTCGTGGCCTCATGGGGGAAACCATCAGGATCATTCCAGGCACCACAGGTTACTTTACACGTGTTTTATTCACCCTTTTTCAAAGGATTATCGTAATAGAAAAACGTGTCCCTCTGTACGAAGACGAATGGAATATGCCAACGGGTGTGCAATCAACCGGTGCCTCTGACTTGTCGGCTCGATTGAATTAATGTCACAATTACAGGTGAAACGTGCGAATTAATCTGTCAAAATGTTGAAATTTCTGAGGATTACAAATGATGAGTTTTGGAGGGGGGAATCGTCATTAGGGGGGATTATTCAGACGGGTTCAGATGCAATTGCTAGGTGGAATCAGCTGCCTCATTGCTAATGACCGTCATTTTCTTACACCTTCCAGGAGAATTTATCACTTCAGGAGATTGAATTTATTTTTTTTGTTTTCTTCTCTTTGGAAAGTCTCTAAGGTGAATTTTCAAACTGGCGGGGAAAATCTGATAAGGGGGCAGTCATTCGGGTTTTTTTGGGAATCATGGAGTTCATAGAAGTCAGAGGAATCGTTGATTATTTTTATAAAAATATTCAAGTCATTTTTGATAATGAAATTGGAATTGAAAATGCAATCAGTAATTTCCCTGGATTTTTAATCTATTGAACTTTAATTTGATATTGAAATTTCGAGAGGAGTTTTCATAATGAAGTTACAATTTTTGTTGGGGTAAAAATTTGTTGTAAAATTTGTTACTGAGTTTTTCTTTGTGTATCTGAGAAAGCCACATCGACGCCAACCACTAGCTCCCACGCAGCTCTCCCTTTTTTATTTCCCATCAAATATGTATTTTTTTTTTGTTATCAGGTACCTTTTATTTCAAGTCGATACCTCCGGCGTCGAATTAGTGATCGGTAGGCGAGAAGCTACCACGATCGTGTCGTTTTTACGGTTCAACAGTTTTGGATTCAATGTAACAAAAAGCGTCGGCATTGGACAAGGGGCTTTTGTCCCTCATCCCATGGCCTGTCGAACGATATGAAATGGTCATTATATGGATTGTGAGTTTTCCAATTCAATTCGTGGTTTCGCCGATTCAATATCGAACAGTATATTGATCATTCGTATATTGAAGTGGGAGAAAATTGAAATTGAAATTCAAACACAGGATAAAAACTTTTTATTTTTACAGTGACTGTTTTTTATTGATAGGAATTTTAAACTCGAGAATTTTAAACTCGAGAATTTTAAACTCGAGAATTCCACAGTGAGAAATCCAACATTTTTTAAATTTGCTTTCAGGTCAAAAAACATTTGGAAACTGGATAAATAATTTCAAATATTAATGAAAATGTCATATTTCCATTTATTAATTAATCCCACTGCAAATGTTTACCAGAATTTCAACAAAAAAAAATATCTCCCACAATAATAATCAAAATGATAAAATCGTAAATAATAATTTTCAAATAAAAAACGGAAAAAGACCTTCAAAAAAATAATTAATTTCCTTAATCACCTCGAAATTACGAATTTAAATTTGAAGTATCACAGAAGCTCTCAAATTTTCAATCCTCAATAATTATTTTTTCTAATGATCACTACAATTTGACTAGAATTAATTGACCAAGGTTTCATGGTAGAATCTTCTCTTTCAGTTTGTAATGTTTCCATGCGATTAACGAAGGTATAAATCCCGTAGCCATATTAGTCCCCTGAAAACGAGTTAAAAGGACCCTTGGAAGGGACAACCTTAGAACTCGAGCAAAAACTCAGAGGAGGCGGGTCTCACTGACGAGCTGGTAACTGGCTGTGAATAATTTAATAGATATTGCGTTCCTTCTTCTGTCCCTTCACTCACCCCATCGCCACCCTCCCTCCCCCTCCTTCCCCATAATTCCCTCTCATTCTCTCCCATTTCCTCCGATTTTTCTCTCTTTTCCTCATCCACTCCAGCATTTCCTCGACAACTTTTTGTCCACTCAATTTACCGCTCCACCATGGCCAACAATTTCGTTGTTACTTTAATTTTTATGTAAGACCTCATCTCCACCTTTTTCTCCCTCTTTTACTCACTTACTATTTTTACTCATTTTAATTATTTAATTATTTACAGAGAATTCACAACAATTGATCCTGAAATTGTAATAAAAATCAGAAAATATGTAATTTATGAATAATCAAATTAATTTTGGATATCGTCAATTTTTTCTTGAATTATTGCGATTGCACTAAACTATTGTAATATTTGTTGAATATTTTATTTATTGGAATTAATTTGTTTACAGGGACAGGGCCATAAAAATTATAATAAATCGATCAAACGATAAAACCATAATTACAGTAATAATAACAATCACAATGTTGTTGGCAAAGAGCGCAAAATGGATGTGTAATTTTTGCCAAATGTTTCTTTAATTAACTGGGTTTTAATGAATTAATTATTTAGTTTTCGCAGTAATCCTCAGTACTACTTCCGTACAAATATAAATGCGTGCGTGATTAGGATAAAAATATGAGAAACTGCTTGAGCCCTCAACTGCCTGGCAATTAGTACCCATTTTTCATGATCCCAGTACCATAACAGTAGCAGAATTAATTACAGTATTTACTGTCACGTGGTGGAGACAGAAAATGAAATAGCCTAGGAATTAGCCGTTGAAAACCGTGACATAAAGTCAGTCATCATATACTTTTCCCACGTTTTAATAAAATAAGAAGCCGAGGTGGCTTCCTCGAAGTCATCATTCACGGAAGCCTGGAAGAGACTCCTACTCCATGTATACTCTTTATTTTTCATCTTCAACCTAGCTTATTCAACAGAAAGCATTGTAAATATATAGCAATACCGAAGATGACCGCTACAATTCCAGAAACAGATATGTTTCCGTTTACTACCAACTATTCAGGGAAATGTTTGAGACATTTGCACTGTTGCAAATTGTTGTTGGAAATTTTAGAATAGATAGGCAGTGCGGAAGAATTCATTTTCATGGAAAATTAAATCTTTTAGTTTATCACTTTGCTGTTTAATATCTTTTTATTTTTGTCTGCATCGCGTTAAACTCCAATGGTGAAACTAATGTCAAGATTTGTGCTGAAGTTGTAACAGTTGCATTTTTAATGCTCAATGTATGAAACCATCCGAGACGTTTCGCCGAGAAAAATTATTGCTGTGAAAAATAAAACTTGAGTTTATAGCGCGAGTTTATAAGGAATATTCAAGTTTTACGATTTTACCAGTTCGATGGTTTCAACCACTGGGTAACGATAATTGATATCGCGTTATACTTGTTCCTCCGTACACTAAATCTCGACATGCGCAGTATTTATAAATAATATCATTATTTTTTTATTTCACTCGCATTTTTACGATCCGGAGGAGTAAAAATTCGTAATTAAAATTTTATCGATGGAATTAGTATTGGGACTGTTTCTCTGGTCATTTATTAAATTGCACTCTCGGCTCTCGAATTATTGGCGAATAATTTTCACTTTTGGAATTGGAGAAAATTGACATTTGTCGCTTTTTTTTTGGCGAAGGGATCAATTATTCTGGTGTTTATTGGCGTCTCTCCATGCAAATCACTGGCGTAATTGAAAAGCAAATGCAGTAATGAGTCGTGAGAGACGAAAATGGTGATGCCGAAATATGAGCGAGTTTATGCAGCAAATTAGTTGGTTGTATCCAGTGGGAAAAAAAAAGGGAATGAGGTATTGGAGGTACTCCACGGATTTTTAACTTCTTCAACTTCTGCTGATTATGGCGATTGAATAATTAGGAATAATTTGAAAACCGCTCTCAACACTTGGTGGGAAAGTTCAGGAATAAAAATAAAGTCAGAGTGGATTTTGAACTTTCCAAAAAATTTCCACAAAATACTTCTATCGTGATTAATAATCAATAAACAATATCGTATACAGTGTTGAATAAAAATGGAAAATTATAAATAAAAATGGAAATAAAATCCAAGAAGCTGAAAAAAATTGTAATTAAATAAAAATAAAATCACAAATGTGGAACGACAAAATAGAAATAATTTCACAAGTGCATTATGATTGATTAATTAAGAGTAATTAGGATATTCTTGTGGTTGAGAAAATGAGAAAATTAATGAAAAAATGAATCAAAAAATCTACCAGCAATTGAATAATTCAATAAATTGAATTCCAATCTCTACAAAATATCGAAGTTCTCGTGATATCGAGATATTACAATGGCATTGAGTGAAAAAATTTAAATCCTAGGATTGCATTCTATTCCTGAAGAGTACGACTAGAGGAAAGACGTAAAATAAAAAATAACGACACGATGCCTTCTCTCATTTTCTTTTATTCAGTCTATCGATGATCACATTCTCTCAGGTGGGAGTCAAGTCGTTGCAGGGATCCGAGTAACTGATTTCACCGATTTCCAATCGAGAATTATCAATATTGGGTAATCTTGGGAGTGGTGGTGGTAGTGCTGGAAGACTGATCCCTGGTGATGGAAAATCACTCCCTTGGAGACCAGTGAAGTTGAAGATTGGATCTGTGCGGAATAGATTGGGCTGGAGTCCATAAATCGAGGATAGGGATGGCGATGAGCTGCTCTCAGGGTGAATTTTTGATGTCTGCAGGGCTGGGTAGCTGGCAAAAAGGTTGGCTGTTGCCAGGGCTGTTGCATAAACTGCTGCTGCTTGATGGAAGTGCAGGGGGTACGTCGTCAGGGGATTCGTCAAAGGGTACAGGAGACCACTTCCTGTCCAGGGCATCACATTCTGCGACGATATCTCACCACTCGAAACACTCACGTCAGTAGTTCTACAATTACAAATTATTCAATTGTTAATGATTATTTTTTTATTTTTTACATTATAATTCCTTTCTACTATATCTTTTCTACATTCTGAATATTTTCTTTCCGGTTTTTGTAATTTCCGTTCTAATGATTTAGTAATAAAATTTCGAGTGGATGAAATTATTTCAGGAATATAAACTATTCGTATTGGTATTTGTATTGATAATTGTTGTCATTAATACGATTGAACAAATTGATTTTTTCATAATTTTACATTGTTATACACTGAGAGAAATATTCAATAAAAATTACGTGTATTTTCCGTAATTCTGGAGCGAAATGTGGTGGTCGGAAATTTTACGGAACTGTCACGTAATTTTTATCTAAAGTCACGGAATTTTTCCGCGGTGTTCCGTAATTTTTATCGGAATTGTCAGTGAAAAATAACAATACTGTCACTTAAATTTGTCGAATCAACTCCGTAATCGGTAAGTGAACTGAAAGTTCCGTAATTTTTACTAAATATTTCTCTCTGTGTACGTTTTTAACTTCAATTTTAATTATTTTAATTTTAATAATTTTTTATTGTTGCATTCCTCCGAAATTAATTGACGTGACGTAATTAAATATTCGGAATTATCGGTAAAATTCTATTTTCTTCTGGAAATTAAGGGAAAATCAGGAAAAACGTACAGCTTGCCTGCAATTGAATAACCGATTCGACACCTCGATTTGGAAGAGAAGAAAATCTACAAGTCATTTAATTTCTGTTTCCAACGACTAAAGCTGTTCGTTAAACAGCGATGACAAATATATCTAGCCAAGACAGTTGTTCACGTTCCACGCATTTCCCTAATATTCATGCATGAAACCGTCCAGTAGGTGCATTCATTTTTCATACACAACCTGGTTGTTAAGAAAAGTAGGGGTTACCTGGATCGTTGCTCATTCGAGCTTGTTGTTTCGATTATGCTCTCTATGTTGAATGACTTGGATACTCCACCTAGAGGTTTCAACTTTTTTGATGATAGTTTCCGTTCAGGCGATGAATTTCTCCGCTCAGATGACCCATAAAGCACCTCTGATTGTCGTTCAGGGATGATATCTTTGGAGATGGAGGTCAATCCAGATGTTAAATTAAGAAAATCGAGTTGCTGCTGAGTCAGAGCTATCGTCTGGTCCTGATGCAGGTGGGAGTAATAGGGGGTGGCGTGACAATCAGATAATGAGCATGAGCTACTCGCTGCCAATCTTGCTGTTGTCTCTGCCAATGCTTGACTCTCTTCTTTGGCTTCCTTCGGTAATTTGAATCGTTTTCTGCGTCGAAGGTAGGAACCATTCTCGAACATTGATAATGCTGCTGGATGGAGCGCCCAATATGCGCCTTTACCTGGGGTGTGAGGATTCCTCGGCACCTGCCATCAATCATTATTATTCTATTTTTTATTGATTGAAAGCTATTTAGAATTTTAAATCCAATTAATAATAGCGAAGTGTCAATAAAAATAAAATTCCCACATTGAGAATGCTCGGAATGACACACGGAGAGAAATATTTAGTAAAAATTACGGAATTTTCAGTTCACTTACCGATTACGGAGTTGATTCGAAAAATTTAAGTGACGGTATCGTTATTTTTCACCGATAATTCAGCTAAAAATTACGGAACACCGCGGAAAAATTCCGTGACTTTAGATAAAAATTACGTGACAGTTCCGTAAAATTTCCGACAACCACATTTCGCTCCAGAATTACGGAAAATACACCTAATTTTTATTGAATATTTCTCTCAGTGCAGGAATGCTCATAGATTTTTTCAAAAAACATTAATATAAAAATAATTGGGGAAAAATGAAATTGCAAAAATTAAATTGATATGCATAATAATTCCTGAAGTCGTTTGAATTTTCCATGAGATATAATTAAAATGGAAAGGATGGAATGATTTCCGAAATAAAAATTCAAGTTGATAAAAATCGAGAGAAAAGAATGGATTGAACAGAATTTAATGAAATTTAATTGAAACATAGTGTAATGTAAATAATAAATAGAAAAAGAAAAAGAACTTGTGACAGACTAGTACACACAGACGATCAACTTCTCATGAACTAAACTTGTTTCTACCAGGGGAGAACTTTTCGACATCTAGACACTGATATCGAGTTATATTTAGACGAGGATCGCTTTGATCTGTCTATCTTGTTGTATATCCCCGTGACTTCCAGGTACTACCCCTGGTGCCTTTACTCGACGTTTATTACTCATTTTCCAATTAACCGCACGTGATTCAACTCTCCTTCCCGATGTACAGCTATTACATATTCCGTATGGTGTTGAGAATATATCGCGCGTTGTAAAATAAATAGAAAATTCCCATTTTCTTGTTGAAAATGGGTAATTTTTATATTATAAACAACGGGAGAAAGAGTTTATTGACGTTACGAAAAATTTTAATCACAAGTTTCAAAACAGAAGTTTCTGAGATAAAGGAGAATAGAGCTCAGTCCATAAACTAGATTTTATCATTTTTACAATGCCGTTGAGAAAGATAATTCATGACGAGACATATTTACAAAATTAATATTTCGTTATCGAAACGTAACAGCAATTTACAAATTTTTAACCAGGAAGTTGAAGTAAAAATAATGCGCAAAATGATAATTGTTCCTCCGCGTTACATAATTTTGACTCCAGTCACAATTTTTAATTATTCAAATTAATTTTCGTAAGATCCGTAATTCTGTTAAAACTACGAGAACATCCGAATAAATTTTATCAAACACATCACGCACTCTCCGCGGAATGGATCCGCGAAATGAATCCGCGAAAAAAAAAATGTCAACGTGTGTAAAAATGTTGTAAATATTTACACTGGATACGAACAACGAGGAGAATTATTGGCAGGAATCTCCATTGAATGAATATCTTTTAATAGTTTGTTCGCGTGTCGGACATCCACTCGGATCCGATGAAAACTCACGCGCGCCGATCTCATTAAAATGACAAGATAATTTAACGCCAGGTTTATCATGCCACAGATAGCAACATAAACATTGATGAGATGAACTCGGCTCTTGGGCAATGAATTTTTTTATTCCAAGAGTAACTTGAATTTTCCATGAATAGAAATGTCAACGCAAAAAGAAGCAATCGATAGACAGGCAATAGAGTTACCATCCTCTAACCAATAATTTTCCCATTCCCCAGGAGGTGATCGTCAACCTATGTATAATGGTAATGGAATTCATGCTGCATGCTGCATGTGCAGAGTTAATGTTGATGAATGCAGATTCATATGCAGTACAAGGAACAACTCACTGAAATAACTGTCTTGTTGGCATTTACCCATTTACCCATCCGTCATTACTCTATTTAAATTACCATCCGTCTATTTGCATTTTGAAAATTCCCTCAAATTTCATAATATCGTAATGTCCTTGGAATTTTTTTACGAATTGATAATAAATTTTCGCAAATCGACAGAATCGTTTTGAATATTCATTATCAAGAGGACAATTTTTATACTGTGCACTTCGGGTTTAGATATCCAATTTATAAAATTAATTTCCTCAGTACGCACATCACATTTTATTACTGGTGATGACCGGTAAATATACGGGTCTTCCCATCTCCGCCCTCCACTAAGGCATTAATTTTTCCTTTCAATTAATAATAATAAATTCAACAATAACAATTTTCCCGTTTAATCAGTAATTTTCAATTTTCCTATTTTTCATTGTACTACTTTTTCATTCAAAACTCAATTTTAATCTTTCAATATTCAAAAATTTCCAGTATCAATATATTTTCTCTATTTTTATGTGTCGAGTGAAAAATAATTACTCAGTAATTATTAATAATTATCAAAACCGCTAAATTGGAGGAATAATTCAAAAAAAGATTTAGTTCTCTGAAGTTTATTTATTATTATAATAATATATTTGTGTTCAGATAGAGACTGACCTTGATGAAACAATCATTGAAAGAGAGATTATGCCTGAGTGAATTCTGCCAGCGTCTGGTGTCCCTTCGATAATAGGGAAATCTGTCAGCGATAAATCGATATATCTCGGCGAGTGGCAGCATCTTCTCACTCGAAGACCATATCGCCATTGCTGTCAGTGATATATAAGAGTATGGCGGCTTCTGCTCGCCATTGTAAGATTCCCTCGATGGTCTTGGCATTCTCTCCATCGAAATCTAATTCTTCACTTTGAGAAAATAAAAATAAAATAAAATAATGGGTTCCTGCTAGCCGAGGTCTGCAGGAGCTCCTCAAATTATCGAAAAAAACTATTTCACTTCAGCCGAAGTAGACTCCTCCCACTATGAGTTCATTCACTCATAATCTGTCATCTAACTGATTTTATTCAATTAAATGTGGAGTCTGCAGTCGTCAAGTCAATTATTCAACAATTATTTTCTCATAGAGTCCCAATATCACGCATTCCCCAGATAAATCATTCCACCGAAAAACCATAATCCCTGACTCTCCTGTCGTAATCACAAATTACGATTGCGGAATAAACAAAAAACATTGCAATTGAGCAGCAATTTTTTCTTCTGAACTGCAATTTCCGGAATGCGCGGAAAGCGATTGTAAAATTAAAAACTAGATTCAAAGAATTAATGGAAAATCAACGGAAATTGGTGATTTTCCGAGTATCGTGGAGGTTTTAATTTTTCCTCAGACTTAAACTGTTTGAAAAATTATCACTGACTACAGTAATGAACATCTGAACTCATGAACATCTGAACGCATCACTTGTGTGTTATTATCTCCCCTGTCTGACACTTAACCGCCGGTTTCCACTGAATACACGTCATCTTCTTGTTAATACCGAAGAGAAAGTTGAGGTTCTCCAAAATGGAGGGAATCCCTTGGTGCTTCATGCAGTTGTCATTCGTTGATTTCACAATTTATTTCCAAAAAAAAACGATTTTGGGAGAAAAAAAAAATGTGAAAATCCATGGAAAATGCAGGATGGAAAATTCATTGACACTCAATTAACACGATATCCGGGGAATTCCGTTGGCAAGGAAAAGTCGTGTTTCTACCCGTATGATTCAACTGGTCGAGAGACTATATCGATACCTCAACTCGATGGGTTGGTGTTCATTCGCGTTTGCGCATCATCATCGGCTCTCTTCCGTCCTATTTTTCTCCCTCCAGTCTGGAACTATTCCTTTCCCCTTTTTTCGTTCGAGGGGGTTCGCCAGTGGGTGGGGCCGTTCTGATTCGCTGCTCCTCGGGAAGTGGGCGGGGCAATCGACGTGGGCTGACCTATCCATCCTGAATTCCTGAGCGACTCAAAACTGCTGAGACATCGCAAACTCTATTTTCCACAGTGGGAGGTACCTCCCGACTCCGCCTACTCCTTTTGCTTCCGAATGGAACCTCCGCGAAATTTTACTTTCCCATTTTTTCATTAAAAAATACGGTTTACCGAGATTATTTTTAAGGAGTTTTTTTTTATTATTATTTATGGTTGGGGAGTTATTCCCGATATCTTATCGTTTTTTTTTTTTTTTTTAAATAATTTTCTGGGGAACCGCTGATGGAATTCAGGGGGAGAATTTACAGCTATGAGTTTTATCAAAACTTTTTTGTTTAATAAAATTATTGATGAAATTTGAAAATGGTTTTTTTACCGTCATCTCATTCGCGGTTTCCGGAAATTTATACAAATCATGCAAAATGATATCGGTAATGATTCCTTGAATCAAGTGCAATTTTTATTATTGAATTGAAGTAATTCATAACGAATAGAAATTTCTGTGGATCTCGAAGAAGAATGATGAATCAATTTATAAAATTGATCAGATAAATTCAATTATCTAATATTTAATTCCATGAAAGCTATAACTATAAACGCAATTGAATTTCCGGTCGGTTTAATTGAAACAATACTAAGATAGAATATGAATAAAAAATTGAGTGACCGTTTATATTTGAAATGGATTTCAACCACATATAATTAAATGTTAACTTGATAATTGAAGATGATTTTGCGACTGAAATGGGAGAAAATTGTGCACCGGGTATCGAAAATTTTAGGCAGTAATTGCGAGAAATGTTGGGATGGATTATGTTACCGCCATTTTATTCTCTTGCTTCCACCTCGAGTCGATTACAACGATGAGGAAGGAGTTATAAAGTTGGTAATAAAGAAAGGCCTGGATGTTTGGTGCTGTTGGGCGGACGGAGGCACGGTGTTGGTATCGATCAATCCAGTAATTTGACGGTTCAACCGGTGTGCACCTATAATACCATAATGGCTTGCTGATGGGCATTGTTGCTCGCCTCGTTTCGCCTTGTTCTCGTTGAATTTCCGATCCTTGAACAAGTCGGTTTGTTATTAGAGTTTGGGATCATTATGGAGTATTAGAGGCATTGGGGAAACAACGGGTAGCCTCTACACGCCATTTTTTTATTTCATCTCCTTTTGCTGTGCCATCTTCGGTGTTACCTGACACGTCCATGCCCAATTGAACATTATTCTGCAGTACCTACTCTCTGGGGATCAAGGATTTTTCAATGATTCAAGAATGAACATTGTGCGATCATCATATATTTCTCGTAATTTTTCTTCTTTGGTTCATCATTTTTTACATTGTATTCTTCTTCACTCGATATTCCTTGCCATCGAGATGTGTGCGTTATATAAATCCAACATTTCGATGTAATTGGATTATCTATTGGGTATTTTATACTCTTTAACAAGTCGATATCAAAGAATTCCAGAGATTCGAAAAAGGAGAAAATTTTTCATCCCTCGACTTTCTCTGTCTAAACGCATGACAAAATTCATTGAAAAATTTGGAGCTTTGTCGAAGACATTTTTATTCATTTCTATCGAAATTGTTATAATTTTTCATTGCTAATTTTCAATTTAATTAAATACGAAAGGGAAAATATTAATGGAAAAACTGAAGAGATTTTATTGTGAATAAATAATTTAGAACGTCTTCGTACAAAAAATTATAATAAATTGAATGACATCCCAGGATTGTTCAATAGAATGAAAATTATCTGTATAAAGTTCCAACAGAAATTTTAAAAAATCCCTTACAAACAGCTGAAAGTTTTTCCATGTAATATTCTCATACGTGCAATTTCCAAAACTAGTCAATGCTACAACTTTTTTTCTAGAGGCACTATTACTCTTTACCTGGGCCACTATCCTCATTCATTAAAAATCCGACGACTCCACCCTCCATCCACTAATTGTGCTGTAATTGTTAGTGACTTTTACGATATTTTGGTTGAGATTTATTTCGCTGTGTATCGACATTCGAATAAAATAATTCGTTAACTTAACTTAATTAAAATTTACGAAAAATTCATTGGCATTTGACTTTTCCAAAAAATGGACTTTTGCAATTTTTCCAATAAAATCAAAGGATATTTCATCGATTGATAGATATTCTCCGGACACTTGGAGAAATGAATATCTTTAGAATATAATTTTTGACTAGTCACAGTACAAGAGTTGAAATTATAAAATATATTGCGAATAGTCGTTTTCGTGCACCTTGCAACAATAGTGGTAGTCTTGCACTTCACTTCATCATCTTTTCTTGAATAGCCCATACAATTTTCGCCAAGCCTTTCACAGCCGGTGTTGAACCATATCGTTTATCACTAATTTCTGTTTAGAGTGCCCTGCGGTAGTTATTCCACACTAATATAGATGAGATAATTTCATATCTCCTAATAGCTGTTGTACAAATTCTCATGAAAAAGAGATTCGAAACATCTAATTTGTCATAGAACTTATAAACAAGTTCTTTTGTCTCGTGAAATGGATAAAAATCTAATTTACTTTCATTATTTGATTGAATGTATTCGAAAGCTCTCCCTGCACCCAGAGAATAATTTATTTTCCATAAAAAAGATTTACTCCACACCAGAAGCATTCTCTTGGTAATTTCCTAAATCTTCGGTTATCAAAAAAAAATATCTCTCAGTGCAATGATAAGAAATTTATGAAGTAGTCTATATAATCGGACGAAATGCGATGCGAATAATGAAGTCCTCTCAATCCTTCAGTGTATATACCTCGTACTTGAGTTATTACTTGCATCCCCGAATAAATAACTGATCAATAGTTGCATTTATTCGCTATTTCTAAATATCCATGGTCACACACCGATAAATATATTAAAAAAATATCGGAACTTAAGTGCTAGTATAAATAACTTGTTAACTTGTATCGATATTGTTGTATACAATATATATAATTCGAGAAGAAAATTCAAGTCGAAAGGAAGAAATAGCAGGGATCATTCCCATTCGTCTGTAAATATCTTCCGCTCTGTAGATTTTTTTGAAGGACGACGTGGAAGTTTTTATTTTCAACAGTATATATATTTTGGTTTCGATGCTGTTAGTCACTTATTTTAATTGCGCCATTTTTCTTTGAGGCAAAACTATTTCACGGTGAATATGTTTATAAATATTTATGTATATCTGCAGTAGCTCGAGGAAGTAGATGCCACTTATTCCTATTTATTTATAAAATAGGTAATTAATAGTGCAAAACCGCGAAGATCCACGGGCATTCACTAATTTTACATCAGGAATGAGCGATATTCGATTAATCGAATTTGGCTTTCATTCGATGTATTCGACTTTTGATTAATCAATTTTCAATATTTTTTTTCCAATAGTTTCGCGTCAGGTGAATATATGAATATGAAAAACCGGAAAATTGACAAGTTATTTTGAAAAATTAATCAGATCAATTGTTTATTTCATTTTTTATTAGAAGATTGGATGAAATTCATTGTCAACTTGATTAATCGCAAGTTTTTTTCAATGATGGAAGAACCTCGAATATTTAAATAATCGTTTTTTTTTGTCGATTTTTTTTCTAGCATCGCCCATCCCAGAGTTTAGACTAGATTTCATGGCTTCGTCTTAGTGAAAAATTAGTCCTCACCGGAATATAAAATCGAATCGGAAATCAATCGAAGACTATTGAAAAATAAAGTGGGAAGATCTCAGTTTAATCTTTTTGGAAGGGAAATAAAGTGGGAAGATGTTTCATCGATTGAAAAAAAAACTTAAATTTTCATTTGATTATTATGGACGAATGGATCAGCAATTATAGTCTTCACCTGGTGTCTCAGCATCGACGGGTTGAAAATTTCCGTTCGAGCTGGGGTGTTCGGAGGTAAGTTCTGTAATAAATGGTAAATCGAGTTCAATACTCCCATCAGACAGGTGCAGCCGAGAAAAAAATTCTGAGTGCAAATCATTTCTGGATAGTATAGAGATGATCAAACCAAATTTTTCACAACTTCACAATACGTCAATTATACGTGAACAAATTAATTGTGGAAATTTGATCTAGCTCTTATTGAAACAGAATTTTTTTCTCAGAGCAGAGTCGATTAAAATTTCGCAATACAAACGTCAGTCTTTCAGCTAGCAATTTATAACAATTATTTCGAGCAGGCATTATGGAAAAATCAATGTCAATTACTGAGGTATTATTTTTATAACTACTGCATTAAACATTGAGAAGAACAGTTGGGGAGAATTTGACGTTCATGCTGGGAGAGTTAATTTCCAAGTTACATATCCTTGAAATTTGCATTCCTGATCAATGCCGGCTTACCTATTTTATTCGCTCAGTACTGGCAGTAGGGACCTTTACAATTAAAAGTAAAGAAAAACAGAATGTGTTGTAGAAGTTGTAAATTGAGCATCCATTGCCTCTCACGAAAGTTAGAGTCATCATGTTTAAAAATAGAGCATTATATTTTCATACTTACAATTCTAAACTCTGAATTGTTGATGTCGAACACATGACGTCGACTTTAACGTGACAATGCTTATGGCACTTGAGTAAGCAGTCCCTACATTCGTAGCCCTGTTTACCTAATCGCCGGGCCAAAGTTCTCTTACAAACTTCACATACAGTTCCACTGAAAAAAAAAGTTTCCCCTTTAAAAATTCACGGATTCTTCCTGCTCTGAACCCATAACTTTCAATTTTCATTTGAGTTTTTTCTTTTCTCCAACAAGTCATTCAATTTGTCCCATTCAGCATTTTCCTAGAGTTTTTTTTTTTCTTGTTGATACTCTCTAACTCTTACTTATTAATTCTTGATCGGTAACTTCTAGTTTTTGTTGACATATCGTTTCCCCAATTTGATTTCTCAATTTTTAATGATATCTTACCCAGACATGTGTTTCGCGATGAAGGTGTGATCATTGAATATGTGTAACTTCGTGCCCTTTTTCCTCCACTTACTCTTCTGGGCGAGGGACAGGGGTACGAGGTAGTGCCTGCAAGTGTAATCAATGAGCATTTCATAAATCAGATAACAAGATAGATGTACCCACTTTTTAATGCCATTCTCTAATGTTTCTAGCACTAATGTTGACGCCTCATTAATGTAAGTTCTCGTTGAGGTGCCACTGATGGCGGAAGCTTCACTCAGACTCGATCTTCTTGAGTGCTCTTCTTTACCTGGGACGTTCAATGATACTGGAATAACCAAACAACAAATAAATAATTATTCCTAAGCCAACGGAAAACTAAAATCAGGGCAAACCGAGATAATCCAAATTTCAATTCTGTTTTTCCTTTTTTCAAAATCATTTACCATTAGAGGACCAGAATTTCATTTTATTTTATTTCATTCTTGGTTGGTAACCATATTGAACATTTACGTATTTAAAAAAAAAATCGATAGAAAAACACAAAATTCGGTTTATCCAATAGTTTTTTTGGTGGAAATAGAGGAATAAATGCGGTTACCTGAACCAGGATCACGTGCTCTGTCAGCAGATATCGATCTTGAGTGAGCATCTTCGTGATTAATATCTCCCTCTCGTCCTGCCGATCTACTTCTAGTCTTCGACCTACTCAAACGTTTTTTGATAGTTCCGAAAAAGTCACGTCGTTTTCTTCGCGTTCGTCCCCGTTCTGCTCGAGTTTCGTAGATAATTATCATTAAAAGTTTACAAAGAAACTTCTAGTGGATAAAAGTAATTGAACACTCACCTCTAGTTCCTTCAGAATTCGATGACCTTGGCGTACTTTCCGGACCTGATGCACCGCTGTTATCTCGGTTCACATGCTAAAATAATAAAAATCATTTTATTATTCATTTAATTATTATTCTATAAAAACCTTAGAATTTTCATTTCTATGTTTATTTTTATTTCTCCCTATTTCGCTATTCTATTCGGATAATTTTTTACGTCATAGTACCATTAACAATTGACATGTCTTGAAAATAATTTTTAAAGTCTCGATTACTCGAATCGTTTCGAGTAATAAATTTTTATGGTAGTATTTATTTGCTGCAACCGGAAATTGGAAACCAATAAAAATTTGTTTGTTGGGTATTTACATTAATTAAATTTAATATAAACATTCCATATTCATTACCTCTGGGGAGAGTTCTTGCCAACTGCCGTCCTCTGATAGTGCAACCTGTCGGATTAGTACAGGCAAACGAGAGTTATCTTTCACGTGCAAAAAATCCCGAAATGTCTATCTCTCATTAATTATCACAAAAACGCATGGAAAAAATCCCATGAAAATTAATACTCAAAAAATGAAGAACATGTACAAAACTACTTTCAAATTTTCAAGAAAAAAATCATGCAATCCTAAAAAATATCTATCATTTACCAATTATATAAACAATAAAAAATAAATTGAGTGCGGTGAGTTTTTGGAAATATCTTCGAAACTACGAAGGATAATGAAATTTTCGTCAACTTCTATTTGATAGGTATTTGAGAATTGCAGAAAATATTCCAATAAAAATTTCATTATCTCCTTTAGGTCCGAAGATATTTCGGAAAAACTCATGGAAGAGCTAAACTCCTTTAGCTTTATTGTGAATTTTTTAGGAATTAATTAAGAACTTCATCGGTTTTGTAGCAAATTCATTGGCGATGGTGACTAATGAAGTAATAATAAAAAAAATTGACAATTGGAAAAAGAGACATGAAGAGGAATGGACGAAGGAATGCATTATCATTAAAAGGATCACCTTGACGACTTGACGCTCGGGTTGCTATAAAACAAAGGAAGCCAAACAACACAGTTAATTAGAATTTATCTGGCAATAACTCATTAGTGATATCTTGTGAATTTTGTAAATTTAAAATGGCTCACCCTCTGTTGACTGTGGACAATCAGAGTTCCCTTGTTGCCATTTGTTTGTCCAGTTCTGTACGGCGAGTCAACAGTTGTACCATTCGTCAAATAGTCTGAAAGAAAAGCCAATTCTAATATAAATGAGAAAGCGTGGCGTCCGAGTGGTGAACGTCAACTTGAGTTAAAAAAAAAATTGAGAAATGTATTTACTGAAAGAATTAACAATGCGATGGGTAATCACACGATTTTTGACTGAGGACTATTCATTCTCAATATTCCATGCTAAGTTCTATGATACTATTCAAATACTATAAATCAGCAGCGAATGGGTGAAACATTTATATGGAACTCGAATAGAAATTCAATGAAATTTCGTCGATAAAGCGCTACGTTTTTCTGGTTTTCTTTTTATACGAACATGTCTAAGAGATCTGAAAACAAAAACAAATACTGAAATGCAAGGAAAACTTTAATTCTCGATATCTCAGCGGAAAGGTAATGGAAACATCTGCAAAATGGCTTAAACAATTTGTTCATTCCGTAAGAACATGATAAATCAAATTGACGACAATTTTAAAGGGATAAATAATTTTAATGGGTGTTAAAAAGTACGAGGTGGAGGCGTCGCCATCTTAAAGCCCTCAGTGGCAGTGAGATGGAGTATGTTATCATGATGGCGGTGCCGACGTTGGTCAATCACTTCGTATTTTTGAATATTCATTAAAATAATTTGTTTTCTTCAAATCACTCTTAACTCGTTTCATCCTGTCCCTGCGAATGGAACAAATGATTAAAGCCATTTTAGAGAAATTTCCATGCCTTTTCGCCAAAAAAATCAGACACAAAGTTCTTCTTCCATTTTGATATAATTGTTTACTCCTGCGGCCCCCGAATAATTAGCCAAATAATTCGTCTCACCATTCCACTACTCAACTCTAATTCGAGGATCAGAGGTACAAGGTGGGGCGAAAGGTCAAGCAAAACTTGGAATCCCACGAAATTCATTCAAAAGTTCATTAACCTTGCACTGTAGAGTGTTCCCGCGGCCAAAGATCATTCCGCACTAATAATTTGAGGAAGAAAGTTAGTAGTAATTTCTATCTCATGAAACAATTCTGATCTACCATTCAAAAATGAATAAAAACAAAATAATAGAAATAAAAATGGGAAACCAAAGGATTTATTTGTTTTATGTTGAAAGTGGATTTCACTCAGGTGCAGATGCTTTTTTTTTTCTCCAGATAATATAATCGGTAATTACCCCCGGTTGATTGAGCAGTAGAGTCGTACAAGATAAGTGTGCTGTTACCATTGTTATAATTAAGACTATTATTGCTGAGTTGACTGGTTGGGCTGTAAGTGCGGGTAGGTGACACTGGTTTTATAGCTTCCTTGAGTTTGAAAGGCTTCGAACCAATCTGAGGCACCTCAGCCCCCTCAATAAATAGAAACTGCAAAACATCATCAATAACAAACACAGAATTGTTATTTATTTACAAAAACTAACAATTTGTGCAAAAAAATGCATCCAAAAAAGATTTTTTACCTGCAGTATTTCGTGAATATAAAAAACTTATCTGTTTATGTAAAATGACTGAAAAAGTGATTGTATAAATACTTTAAGAGCATTTTCCAATTCTTCATTTGTGCTGTAATGATTGAAAAATATTTTTTTATGGAATGAATTTTACTTCGACTGTGAGGGTTCCAGTGACTTCATCAGCCTCGTATGGTCTTGCTTGAAGAGGAATAATCTGCCTCTGACTCGGATTAACTAGTAGCTCCTCAACACCGACAATTCCAAGACCCAGGAATCGTTGACTTTTGTTCATATTATCGAAGATCTCAAGTAGCACTTCCGACGTATTATGACTGACATCGCTAAAATTGTATTAACATATTCATGAATTTTTGCATTGCATTTGCATAAAGAGTACTAGAAAGGATGAATTATTATCACAAGAATTCATCCCAAGTGTCAATGAGAGTTTTGTACATTTGAGAAATTTTCCATAATCAAATAATGACATTTTCTTAGAATTACGTACAATAAAAAGGCTTCATCCCACACAGGGCTCATCGTGTCCTTTTTGATGGACGTCTGGTGCTTCTGTGGTGGTTCATCCAATTCGACAACACAATAAGGCTGAGAGCATCCCTCTTTCCCTCCGAGATCATTAGCTCGAACGACTTTGACGAGGAGACGTCTGTCTCCGGACACGTACTGCTGTGCTGTCGACTCTGGATGACCCTAAACAACAGTTATCACGTCAATGAAGGACTTCAGGTTCATTCATCGAGTCATTACCATGTTGTCATAGTGCAATGGCATTGAATAGCCGGTGTGCGGTGGTGGGTCTCGCCAGAGTCTCGGACAGGTCGGATATTTCGATAAATTGAGATGAACATTGGTCCCCCTCAGGGCCCCTACCACTATCTCGGTCACCACTTCCTGGAGCTGGCTCTCATCCAGGTCCTTCTTTATGGTTCCCACTTGGGCCAGTGAGACCTTCACCTTAAATCAAATCATGAGACATTTATAGGAATCATCTTTCATTGGGATCAATTGAACCAGCTGATTTAATCAAGTCGATCTTTTTTATTATTGGAGCTAATAAACTCATTCTTTTCTCATTCCTTCAATTCATTTTCAATTTTATACCTTCAAGTCAAGGAATTTAATCTTTGATGGGGGGGAAAATTGAAGTACATCAATGAAGGGATCGTGTAAAAATCGGATGTTGAAAATTGAAGGACCGATTTTGGAAGATATTTTAGAATTAAAATTTGAACAATTAAAAAGTTTTCATTGGGGATTTGAAGAGGTGGGATTTACCTCTGGCCAGCCATCGCACTTCACGTCCATCAGAAGTTTCTCGGTGATACACACAACATTTAAACGTGCTCGGAAGCGATTTACGTTAGCACGATAATGGCTGACCTCAACTTTATCGCCTTTCTGACGGAATGCCTTCAGTTGCAATGCCGGTGTTGCCTCGCAATCGCATGTTATTGTCTGTAAAATATATTCAATAGAACTGAGGACAATACAAATGGAAATTCCTTTAACGTCACCAAAATATCTACATCTATTCATGACATAAAAAGTAAATAGACTGCAGTCATCTGGAAATACTCACGACATCATTCTTAGAGTCGCATTCGCAGAAGATATTCGAAAGAGAAGGCGATTGCGTTTCCGGAAGGACTCGTACAAATTCCACACCCACTCCATGCTGGAATCATCAAAAATATCTGATGAACTCATGGAATGAGAGGAGTTCAGCATTCCAAATAATTATTCATTCGTAAATCTCAATCAAATGAAAAAATAAATATATTACAATCGATTAAAAATTCAGGAGAATAATCACCGGAATTTTTACTGTCTTCAATAACTTTCTTCAATAATTGGAAAATTAAAATTTCATTGAATATTCAAAATGCATTAATTGAACTAAAAAATTCGATGAATTTTTTTTCGACTAATTGATTTCCCTGGGAAAAAATATTCTAATATATTTTCGTCAATACCAAAAATCAATAATTTTCCATCAATCGATATTTTGGAAAAACTGCAAAACCCATCTCATGTTACACTTCCCCACTGTTTCAGATAGAAAGAAAATAATAAAATTTCAATGGCGAAGAAAACCGGTTTTCTCCTCGTGGAGTCAAGCGTTATTTTCGGTGTATGACGTCACCGCAAGGCCGTTGACAGCTGATGACGAAATATTTTCCCCTCGCTCTCTCATGTCATATGACGTAACGGAATTGACCTCAAAAGCTCGAGAGAAGAAAACGAAAAAAAAAAACCGCATTAAAGTGAATTACGCGTAAAAACCCAACAATTACCCGCAAACAACTGAATTCTCGCTTTCGATAGAACAATCTAAATTGGAGGAGAATCGAGCAGAGAAAAATGGAATGAAATTAAACACCTGTTTAAACAGTTCTTTGAGCTCTGAAAAACTAAATAAACACGTGTGTTTAATTTTTCCTACTCTCCCCTAAATAGTTCCCGCACTTCAAAAGATTTTCCCCTTAAAACTTCAGACTCCGGATTAATAATTCACCGAATAAATATTGAGTGAATATATATTTCCTATATTTATTTATAATCCATATTTATATAATTAAATGGTATATAATTAAATTTATATGGTTAAATATAGTTTGCGTATTTTTCAATCGAGAGGAACCTGATATTTTAATCTCGATTGTTTATCGAATGACGAGAGTTCCCCGTGGAAAAATCAAGGACAACTGATCGATTTTATGATTCAACCGATGAGATTGAACGAATTTTCATTTTGAAAAGTGGGTTAAGTGCTTGGCGTTGAGTTGATTGCAGCTGCAGGTTCTTTGATAAACGGAAAACAGAATCGAAATCGAAACACAAAAACATTCGAAATGACTGAAATAATCAATGCGATAGTTTCTCTTAATCTACGGCCTTCCGTCGCATATCTTAACTCTCGATAACAGGTGTATGTTCATGTGAATAATTGATAACGACAGTAAATTATCCAAAAATAGTTAATTACTTTCCAGACTCCTCTAGCATTTGGCTGTCGAAAAAAAAATACATTAGAGAAAAAAATGTTTTGAGTTTTCAGAAGAAATTGTAAAGAAATTAATCATTCAGAAATTTAATTTGCTAGTAATTTTCTTTTGTGGAGATTTAAAAAAAAATTGTTTTTAGACGCTCAGTGATTTATCAATGAACAATAAATTATTGAACATATATTTGTTTCGTATTTTAAAATTTGTTGCAGCTTTCGCAAATTAATAACAATTTGCATTAAAATTCTCACAGATTTCGATTTCAAATGCTAGGACTTTCTCTCCAGTTCCTTTCAAAGTGGATCTCTAATTTTTAATGTTACGTAAGGCAATATCCATAACCGCAGGAAATTATTTAATCCTTGGTAATTAGCGATAGTCATTGAAAATAAAAAAAATGTTTTACGAATGTAGTGGATGTAAATCTACATGTTACGGTTCGTAGCCATCGTAGTCTCACACGAAAACGTCATGTTCTATAAATAAATCTATCAAATGTACGAATTGATTGATACCCGTCTAAATACCCGATCCAAATTACAATAAATTACCAATTTATTGGAAAAGATTATGAAATTATTATCAAATTTTTTCTCAATATTCCAGATTTGGCCTTGAAATATTTTTCCCGAGACAATTGCTCTGCAATTTCAAGGAAATCTCATTGAAAATTCATGGTCTTCCCAAAAAAATCTATAAAACTACAATTCCAGTTAAATCTTATTCCGAAAATTAATATAAGCTGAAGACACTCAAGAAATGTACCCAAATTTTCAGTGTCTAAAAACTTCCGATAAATTTGAAAGTAAATTATCAATTCCGTGAAAAATTACAGTCGCCCACCTAAATTTCCACAAAACCTCTTCATCAACGTTTCCTCCTCCCCATAAATGAACAACGACGAAATAATAAATATCTCTTATATTATCCGTTATGCGAATGATAGAATATCATTATCAACCCCATAATGAAGTAGAAAAAAAATATAGTGTCTCAAGAACCAGAGATGATAAATATTCCAACACACTGACATTGACATTACCTCATCGACGGAGCTCGCGACAAAATGATTGAGAGAGAGTACCCAAGTGGCGAGCAATTCATTAAGTATAACTAAATCCGAGTGTAGCCAAACAACGAGCTCATTAACCCAGCGAACAGCCTCAGTATCAGCGCCAGTAGCAGCCGGCAAATGTAGAGATCTTGAGCTTCTAGCAGGGCTCAAAAGTGATCCCGATGGTTTCCTAGTTAGCCTCTTCCTCATCGGTGGTGTAGGTGGTACATATCCACCACCTCCACCGCCTCCACCACCACCACCTCCAATAACACCAGCACCAGCAACATGACTAGCAGCAAAACTAGCAGTGGCTGATTTAGCCATTGCCACTTTAATGGGCTTGTCCTGGGTAAGTAATTTACTCGCAATATTGCCAGCTGACACGACACTCTCACCAATTCCATGGATTCCATGATCCTTGATGAGCGTACCACTTCCACTTGGTGCACTAGGACTTGTACCACTTGTACCACTTGGTGCTATTTTATCATTGAGTACAAAACGATTGTAAATATATTTACCAACGCACAGCACAACAAGACCAAATAGCATCCAACCAAATATTAACATTGATAATGTATCCATTGTTGTATCACCAGACGAATCAAAACTGCATATCAGATCGTCAACCCGCTCGGCCAAGTCGGCCATATTGCCCCATCGTTCTGCCAACCAAGTCCAATTGGATTCCAAAAACATTCTTTTCTATTTTAATACCGCAGGCTGATGGCAGATCACTTCTCCTCTCCTCCCTATTTACCCCTACCACCTGCCGATGTTTTTTAACAACTTGCCTTGGTGAACCACCTAGGAGAGGGTGGCTATTTTTAAACTCCAAGTGCACCCTGGCACAATGAGGGAATCTGTGCTGAGGTGCCCGCTCTAGGTTTCCGGCAACACCCGGATTGATACTCCCTGGGGTATCGCTTAATCCCGCCGTATTTCAATTCTCTAGAAATTATTATTTTATTAATTATACAACCATATATACATAATTATGTTAACTGCAAAACAGCATTCCGAGATTTTTTAGCAATTGGCAAATTCGAGAGCGAAAACTAGACTAATGATTCGAGAGGTACGGTTTTCGGGGAATATCTGTGCAGCCAAGGGCGATAGCGCAATTTTCGTAAGGACCTTTCTTGGAACTGATTATCAGCTCTATGAAAAAGGTCATTAGGAAAAAAACGATAGCTCTTTTAGATCCGGAGATATCTGTACGACATTCAAGTCATTCATTTTGGAGCGTGAGTTTTTGATAAATGGCATTTCTATAATAAAAAATATTGAATAAATTTGATTGATATACACAAATACTATTTCTCAAATATCCCATCATTTTTTTAGCTCAATAATTACCTAGATTTATAAAATCGATTTTCTCCAGCAGTAAAATTCCACTTAAACCCTTCAAACACCCGCTACTTCATAAGCATAATTATCTTCCATACATAATGAACTCCATCCATAATGATTACTCACTTAATTATCTTACATCAACTCCGCTCCATGTACATGTGATAAATAGAGAATCACCTCGGTTGAGGGCCGCATCCAGTAAATCAAACAAACCCAAAGTACCGAAACCCTTGAACTGTCACAGGCACGTGGCTACCAATTCCCAATTCTCTCACCGATTCTCCAAACTTTCCTCTCATTATCTACTTATCAACGGCCACCTACAAGAAAACAAAAATAATTACTCTACAACAACCGTAGCCCACACTGACCACTCAAAAGCGATAAAATAAAAAAAAAATCCGAACCATAAACCAAAAAAAGCAGAAAACTGGGAGTTTATCACGAGAAGTGGCACACGTTATCACCATCATTCCCACATAATAATGAACGGATGATCTCACTCGTATCTTTATGCATCTGGAAGCAACACCAGTGGTTTACAAATGATGTCTGTCATTCGATCTAGCCAAAACCACTGGATCAAGCCAGGAAGTTCCTCCTGAAATCGCACAGTGAGAGGTACACCAGGATTAAGTATTTCTCAGATATAAATAACAATTTTCTGCAGACAGTCAGTAACTCGTGTAATTTCACTTATTTTCAATCGAAAGTGATAAAACATAACACCGGCCACGCCGTTATAGCGCATATTATTTTCTCTGTCACACTGCAGTACATAATAAAACTCCTCCTGGTTTTATGTAGTTTTATCTCTTTCACGCTGGATTTTGCCCCACTACTCGTACAAAGTCGCGGTATTCCGCGCAGGAAAAAAAAACAGACTAGTGGGAGACACGTTTTATTGCGTTCCAGTATCGATCCAATGCGCACCCACTAACACATTTGTGGCCCAACCCGCAGGATCCAACACCCTGTCCACACTGGGAGAAATAGTACATTACGAGACAAGTGGAAAAAAGTAATTTTCATCAGGCGAGGGTGGAATTGAGACATTCCATTTAATTAAATTGTTTTTAAAATTTTTTTTTTGCAAAGTAATTTGACACAACTGAAAAAATATATCAATTTTTTTAATTATCATTATAATACTTTTGGAATCCATGAATATCCATTTTCGTCGCAAAGCGTTATTATTTATTATTATCATTGTTCATTGAGAATTTATTGAATTTTATTATTTTAATACATAATTTATAGAAAATAGAAAACAGAATTGAATTTGTAGTTTATAACATTTTGAATGATTGGAAAAAATGAAAGTTATTCTTAAATTTGCTTCTGGGCGATCGACCGCTGCGAGTGACCGACTTTAAATCCCGTGAGACATGTGTCAAAAATGATGAATGAATATTAATTGGCATGGATGACAGAAGGTCAAATAATTAACACTCACTCAGAGACATAGGTATATGATAGTTTTATTGTTTGTCGTTCATTTACATACAAATAACTTCCTTTATCATCTCACGTTTCAGAATCAGCGATAAAAGGTCTATCGCTTCACTCTTACTTTTATTTATTTCATGTCGATCTTTTACTCAACAGCTCATCGCTGAATTATGTACGTTTTTTTTTTTCAATTTATGTCTAAGTTTCGATACAAATTACTTCTACATAACTTAACATCTAGATTTCAAATACTATGTGGCGTTGTCAAATCGCTAGATCCTTTTCGTCAGATTTATTTTTTATATTCAAACGTCTGACTGTTCATGCCACTCATGTGGTTTAATCATTAAATAATAATGAGGGGCAGGTGAAGAGCCAATAATTGGAAAATTCCGGTAAATTGAGGTTGACCGTTGACTTTGAGGATATTCAACAGGAATTATTGTTTGTAAATAATTATTTCACTGCAAAAAGCCTAAAGGTAAAGTTCAATACACGGAGAAAAATTTATTATGGAAATCATGTCATTGTTTCGATTAATTTCTCTCCGCGGGAAAGATTGAGTTGTATGAAATACAAATGTAATTCTCCGGGTGATTTGATATTCGTAGACGTTTTTATTGGAAATATATTGCGGCAAGTGAACTCGAAATTTTATTGTGTTGGGTTTATTTTTATTTATCCCACCGAAATATCCTCAAACGTCAATTCAAAGAAGATAGCGACTGCAAAGAATTATCGACAGGAACGACTCATTCGACAAATAGTGATAATCAGTTCGCAAGAATATCCTGTACTTACTTTACTAAAGATAAGAAATAAGCTGAAGGAAAAACGAGCAGTCCAAAGCATTCTCATCACAAATGTCGAATTTACTACTCCATGAGAATCAATTCATCAAAAATTCATGTTCGATGAATCTCAAAAGTACAAAAATACAAAATTACACTAGAATTTATCGTTCTACCAGCTAGCAATAAGCTACAATGAAATAGCGAAGCCACGGAATATAATAATTTGTCGAATGATTTCACCAACGAACAGGTCAACTTCGCACTAGATAAATTTCCCCAGAATATCTCCGAATGTACCAGAAATAGCGAAATTCGTGTGAACATCATTTTTGTAGCTCTCAATAAACTCTACAAAAACAGTTCTACAAAAAAATTGGCTATGTCTTTTAGAATGAGAGATATCCCTCGAAAACTCGAGTCACTTCCCTTGACCTCTTCGCTACTGATTTGTATATCTCAAATTCAAATTGCAGTAGGATTTGCATTATGATTACAGAATGATTTTGTCGAAGGAAATGAATAGCTCTGCGTCTGCAAAAAGGATATCACAATTTACAACTCAGATTGTAACAGATAATTTCATGAAAAAAAAAAGAAACAAACACCCAAATACATTTCATGAAGGTGACTTAATTGAATTATCTAGATTTCAAATCGATAAAGGTCAATTGTATCTTATCCATTTGTCTAACACCTTTTAGTGCACAACCCATCGTCATTCGGACTCTCACTGAACAAACAAGACAGGACAAAACCTTCACAATTTTCAAAGAAATCAAGTATTCTCGTTATTCTACACTCGAATGATTTAATTTACGTTAATGGGGTTAAAATGGATGAAAATAAATATTTAGTGTGGAAGATATACTAATTATATTTACAAGATTGTTATAAAATATATGAAATAATATTATTAACGGATATTTATCAAACGGAACTAGCGTGTCAATGAATATATTCATCTTTTGAATGATCGGGGGACAATTTCTTTTCCTAACTTTCTACAATTAATAGAAAATTTGAGAAAAGAAAGTGAAAACGTAACGCGTATTTTGCCCAATGTACCGCTATTCTACTGTTCCGTTTTACTTCTCGATATTCTATTCAATTTTCCAAGCTAAGAGATACCCCTCAATACTTCTCATTTTATCCGGATGATTAACCCAATTTCATTAGCTTGGATGACCGAGGGACAAGCGTCGAGAAATATTCGAGATATTTCATCGAATAATACTTCATTCACATTCTCTTTATCATTGCTCTCCCTCTTTCCAATAGTCATCCGTTAAATATAAAATCTATGAAGCGTTTTTATTATAATTTTTGCATGTTGTGATACAGCTGTAGACCTTTAGCAGAAGCATGTGCATTTGGGCGCGTGAAAATTGTGTAAATACAGCGATCAGCCTTCGAAAAATTCTTAATGTTAGAGTAAACATTGTTTTAATTTGTCACCAATTCTTAGGTTTCAGCAATCACCGAGTGGTTACAAAATTTATTTGACTAAAATATGTCGGAAAAGTAAAAAAATTGGAAGGGGTTTTAATGCAAATTTCAGTCGTTTGTTGGATCATCGAGTGCACATTGGTTATCGTTCGTATCAATCATTGAGTAAATAATATCAAAACCTATTGATAACAGTTGGCTTAGTTTATCCTCCCGTATTGCTCTTTTTATTTTGTGTTTGTATTTAACAGTGCACAGAGGACCACTAGGCTTTTACGTGACTTGATGGATTACCTCATATCAATCACATTCGGTTTATTTACATTAATGAGATTGTTCTCTTCCAATTCAGTCTTGAGGGCAAACGAAATGTCTGAAGAATTTTATTATTAATACTTCTTGATGAGAATCATCGAATTTTACTTGCTTACCATTAATCACAAATGAGTCGATAAATTTTCATTTCAAGCAAAAATAATTAGAATTATTATCTCCATGGCAATAACATAGATGTGAAAAGCCTAGAGTGGGTGACCACTTTTGAATCACTCGTTGATCATTACGTTCCAATAATTGCATAAAAATCATAATTAAAATTGTTAAGAGATAATTTTTGTCTGTAGATGAATTTCTTATCATATTTAATAATGTTCAATCGCTCAAGTCAATTTGTTCAGCTTTTGGTAGAATAATTCAATTAAATCCAAGACGTGGCAATAGCCCTCGTGACTTGGATGTCCCCAATCAATTAATAATTAATGAATCACATAAATAACCCGATAGGATTGAAGTATGACCTGAATTTTTCCGCGTCATCAGTCTGAAGAACAGGTTAACGGAATGTGTTAGAACAGATTGTGATATGTACCTCGTTAAATGCAATCTTGAATCACTTTTTGCGATAGATTTTAATACAAAACGACCGGGGGGTTAACGTAACACGGGAATTATAAAAATTTACGCCACGACATTGGTGAACAACTGTACATTTTTGTGCATTAAATCGTCAGTTTGATTCAGAGTCGGTTTCAGGTAATTAATCAACGGCGATGAAGCTATTTTATACTATTACACGTGAGACCAATCAAGCTGAGATAATCCTATTAAAGAAATCCAAGTATTTTCTTTAATCACATTAGATAAATCAATAGCGGAGTGTATGAACAATCGATTGAACTGAATATTTTTCTTCATGAAAGTTGCTATTCGCCACATCGTGATGAAAAATAAATTTCTCTCGTATTGGAATTCGCTATAAAAAAAAAAATCAGTTTCCGGTCACTTCCCCTACAGCCCTACACACACGACTATAACGGGCGTCTACTGTAGTCTTGAATGAAATTGCGTTTGAAAATTTGAAAGAATAATGAAATTATACATTTAAGATCTTTTCAAAAAGTTCAAAATAAAAATCAAGCATCAAATTTCGAACAGCTTTGAAAATTTCTATGACATGATTACACAAAAAAAATACTTGGATATCCTTAAATTAAATACGGAAATTATTAAAAAATTTAGAATCATTACACAGTAATAGAAGTCATACTGTTTAAAATTACTCCCTAGAAAGGAATATTTCGTAAAACTAATAAATGTGCGTCGGTAATTTCATTGACAGCTCAATTGGTCCAAGTGTTATCTCGTCATTAGTTATCAGTGACAGACTGGGGCATTGAAAATTTCAACTTTACTAATCTAAGATTAACGTACTTACACACAAATGGCTGATATACACGGATATTGCTACATGAGTTTTTCGCTTGTATCTCTTTCCATTTCTCCCCGAATGTTTTTTAATCGTTATTATCAATAGTATTATTATTATTTTTTCATTAAAAACCTCGTATGTTGCTGTCGATGATGCGTGGGTCACCTATCTAATCAAATCTCTCAAGAATACCATTTTCCAGTGATGGGATATTATCCTCGTTTCTTTACCTTCTGCTCAATTCGACTTTCAGAGCTGTAAAAATAAATCAAGAAAATATTATTTTTGGAATAATACCGGGATCATAAAAGGAAAATTTATTAGTTAATAGTGTTATTTAAAAAACCACAGAATTTCATTTATGTAGCTCCTAGTATTGGTGCAGAAAAAAATACATACCCTCCACAATATCATTTTTCATTTTCTGGAATTCCTTTTTGACTTCCTTGATTATCTCAGCTTTGAAAGCCTCCATTTCTTGAGCAGTGAGAAAAGCCCCCTCATTAATACCATTGACTTTGAGAAGTGTGTCTTCCGATGCCGAGCCAAATCTTTTTCGAGCTGACTTGGGGGACTCCGCGCCATTTGAGAATTTATTATTCGATGCATTACTCTTGTCCCATGATTTCTTATCTGGCGAGCTCTCCGGCTCCTGCAATAATTCATGGATTTTATAACGATTAATTTATCTCGAAAACTATCGATTGGAGGTGAAAGAACTACAAGACTTTTTAATAAGTGACAAAATTTGAAAAAAAGTTTGGAGTACCCTGAGAGTTCCAAAGCGTTGGCAGGAGGTAAAGAGTTAATTCTACCAAATTATAAAACTTTTTAATAAAAGTTTTTGGTTGAGAGAAGTTAAATAGAAGTAAGATTTTGGTGGAAACATATTTCCGGTGGATTTCTAATTATTCCACAGGGAATAATAAAATCAATTGAGTTTTAATGTTGTGGAAACGTACTGGGGGTGGATCGGGTTGTTTTTTCTCGACAGCAGCCCGACGACGCGCCAGTGTCTTAGCCATCTCGTCCATCATCGAGGCCATACCGCCTCCACCACCACGTCCGATAGTTCCATAATTGCCACCCCCGCCACTTCCACTGCTGCTCGTGCTGGAGCCACTATTTTCAACCGGTTGGGCTTGCTGGAAAAATTGCATGCAATATTGAGTAAATAAGAATTCCTCGTCAAACAGCAAAAGTAGAACAAGTGGATAATTGCATTTTTTGTAAATAGGGCAGGTTATAGCGGCTCACAAGTCAGCAATTGTACCAAAAATAATCTTTTGAAGAGATATATATTTCTCGCAAATTAATGAATCCTTAGAAATGTTAAAAATACTTTTCCATAAGATAATTGAAAAAATAATTTGCCTTCTGAGTATGTATTGACTCTCCAGTGGCAATTTTCTGCCAGCACAAATTATCTCTTTTTTCATAACGGAAAAAACCAACTCACCTGTTTCTTTTTCAACCTGGCAGCCTGTAGTGCAGCTGCTAGGGAATTAACATCGGGCTGTGGTTCAGAATTTGTTGTGCTATTGGCACAAGTATTGGGTGCGGGTGGTGGTGGAGGTGGAGGTGGTGCAGCGGGACCAGCGAGTGGTCCCATTGGGGGTGGTGGTGGACCGCCACTGCTAACAACCGGAGTATATGCATTAGCACTCTGTGTAGCACTTGCATACTGATTGACATTATTCACCGGTGTCCCATACGGATTGACATTTGTTTGCCCATACTGAGCCTGATTCTGTACCTGTCCCTGATACTGACTCGGTGTACTAGCATACTGATTTATCGAATTACTACTCCCATATTGACTACCACCGTACTGAGAATTTTGACTGCTCCCATACTGATTCCCTTGGAAATTGGCATTACTACCGTACAGATTTGGCTGACTACCCGAATACTGATTATGATTATTTGTATACTGATTTTGATTGCTACTGGCGTAGATTGATGAGGACTGGGGCTGATTCGATAGGTTACATTGGGAGGGTGATTGTGCGTACTGATTTATCATTGGGGGTGGCACTGGGGCTGAATTCAGGTTCATCATCGAGGGTGGACATGGCGGGGCTGGTGGTACTGGTGGGGGTGCAGGGGGGCCAGATATCTGGGGCCTCAGTGCTGTCATTGTCCCTGGCATTGGTGGTGCCTGGGGCTGGGGCGCTGGAGGCGCTGAAGACGTTCTGTGGTGGCCTGATTGTGGCTGTTGCTGCTGCTGCTGTTGCTGTTGCTGCTGCTGCTGCTGCTGTTGGTGCTGCGGTGGTTGTTGTTGCTGGGGGAGTGGCTGCTGTTGTACCTGAGGCTGAACTTGATAGCTCGGTGAGACTGCCAGCACTCCATTTGAACCTTCAATGATATCGAGGAATTGCATTATTTTTTTTTGGTAGATCCCACTGTTTAGTTTGAGTCTAGCTGAATTTCTAGGACCTACCTTGACTCTGTTGAGACATTCTACGCTCTTGGATAATGGCCACGTCTTCCTTCGTCATAGTCCTAAAAAAAACGTAAAATTTCGATAATGACATTTCAAGTGATCTCTGCATGATTTATAAACGATGTATGTGATGCGAAGCAGTATCAGTCAGCCAGCTAGACTAACGTATTCAACAATAGACGTAATGTTTATATACCTCTAGCAACCAGCTACCTAGAAAAAGGGCATTAAATTGCATTGTCTAAAAATCACCGTCATGATTTCATCACATTAGTTAGTATTATTGTCCCATCATAAAGATCAACACCAGAATGACAGTTTGCACACAGTAACAGGAGAAATTTTTGTAGTGAATGACGGGAGGTAGTGATGACATGCATATAATTCACTAGCAAAATGGTAAAGTGAGATAAATCGAATAATTAAAAAGAAATTTTCTCAAATGTCGATGGATCTGAGAAACAAGTCAGTGATTTTAGGTAGAAATATCAGAAAATCTTTGATCTCGTGAATTTATAATTAATAATCCCCATGAAAATGTTCTCAAATTTTAACGTGGGAATATTCACTGAATATTGCATCTCGAATTTTGACGAGGGAAAAACGTCAACTTATCATATTTTACCATTTGACTACTGATTTCTTGTTCAAGCAAACAGGTGTATATTCACAAGAACTGAAATACTATTTCCTTCTGTATTTTTTCTTTCCCTCATGAGCGATTGCTCAGGCAATCGGAAATCACCTCGTAACAAGCGCTGTGATGTTGACAGCATTATTAATGGATGGGTGATGATTCTGATTTAGGGTAGGAGTCGAGGGCACTGAGGAGGACGTTGCACCCCCCGCAAACTGTTGACCGAGTGATAGTGAGAAGCGTGTCACAGTATCCACTGTGCACTGACCCTGGGCTTGACTGCAATCACCCAGGAAATGAGTCTTTAACTTTGGTCAGAAATTTATCCGGTCAATACCCGATATATCAACACAATGTTCGGTACAATGGTAACATCAATTTACTGTCAAATCAATGAAATTTCTATCAATCACCGGTCTAGTAAATTAATACCAATTCAATGTCAATTATTTCAGTGCATTCTCCGCATGTTAAGCAAAACAATTCTTCTTCGATTAATTTAACAAACGATTTAATTGGTACGACTGATCTGAGAATTCCTTTTTTTTCCTTAATACATAGGAAATTCATCTGCATTGTGCTCTTTGTGCAAGACATTACATATTTAAAATACTAAAAAAAAATCCCAAAAAATATAAAAAATGGTGCAAAAGTAATAATCATTGTGGATCCCTGTAAAATCTCTTAGTGTTTGCGATGTAATCGTTTTTTCAAGAATAATTCAGTAGATTTATCTCGAAATTATTGATTCTGGGAAAGCACGGAGAACTTTTCTTTAAGGTTGATGGAATGCCAGGTAAAAAAGTCCATTAACATTTTATCCCAAAATCAGTTATTAGATAAATCGATTTGAATTGAAAAAATGGAATTTAGTGGATTGTAAATTTCTTACTGGTTTTCGTACCTATAACCCATGTCCTCCTCGTACTGGGTGGTCCCCTGAGATGATGGGGGTTGCTGTTGTTGTTGCTGCTGCTGTGGCTGCTGGGAGTAGACGGTAGGCTGTTGCTGCTGCTGTGGCTGTTGCTGTTGCTGTTGCTGCTGGCCAGCTTGCGTGACAGTTGGAACGAGACTCCTCGATATGTTACTCCCATTGCTCAGCACCTACGTAAATACAGGGACAATTAGCGTTCAATTTATCGAGGTGGAACTAATCGAGGAGAATGAGAGTTTTCAAACGTCTACCGAAAAAAATTGCCACATAAATTCGGCTATTAAACCTCAATAAGAAATTTACCGTTCAGTTACAATAACATAAATTACACTTGTTCGTATAATATTTGTAAACGAGAAATACTTTGAAAAATTGTTTTTAAACTAGTTAACAAAGTGATACATAGACGAAAATTGGTATTGAGTAATTCAATTTAAAATGATGAAATAAAAAATTACAATGGAAATATTATTTTTCACTGAAGTCCCGAGGGGCTGATCGTAAATTTTTGATCGAATGATTTTTCTTCAATCTCTATTTCCATGTTTTTCTTATTATCACCGGAGAATTAAAATGTTGCGGATGCAGTGAAATGGGTCTCCAAGAAATTAAATAAATGAATACCAATTTGAAATGTATTAATTTAATTGGGATTTAATTGCAAGCACTGCCCCACTTGTATATCCTTGAATAAAATGGTGTAAAAGTGGAGCAGGTACCAAGGGAGGGAGGTTGCTACCAGCATTAATGCTCACAGGGATAAAAAAGAAACATGAAGAAGTTCATCAAAGAAAGATGAAAGAACCCAAGAGGCTAGAGTACAGAGTCTAATTGAAACCATGGCGACCTAGACATCAGAGTAAGCCGCATCTGGTCTCTCCTAATTTCGTTGAGACAAATGAAAAAAAAAAGTGGAAAGCAGGAATGACGAAATTTAAATAGTCAACTAAAAAAAAAGAAACAGCCATTAAACAGATGAGGTGTACTCACATCGAGGGCCTGCTGCATTGCTTTAGCAAAAGCATCCGCATCGTCCTTACTCGAAAAATTCAGTCCATAAACTTGATTGTTGTCTCGCCATTGGTGAAACGTTACCGTAGCCTGATTGTACTTTAATCCCCTCAGTATTGCGCAATTTATAACGATCTCATGATCCTGCAGTTTTCTACCAACTACACGAAATGTATTGTGCACAAGGTGATGGTACAATTGTACTTTTGAGAGGCCTGATGAACTGCCACTTGGTATCCATCGTTTGTTCACGTCATCGTAGACCATCACCGACGCCCGGGCGGACGATATGCTCACTTCACTGGAAATATACATTTTTTTCATTAATTGAACATCGAAGGGAGGGATTTTTCAAACAAAAAATTCGTCATTTTTCCACAATTGTTTTGAAAATGCATCTGCAAATTATTTGCAAATTATCTGCAAATTGAAAAAATTATTAGGGATGAGGGATCGATCCCTGAGAGTTAGAGCATTGTTTCCTGTGATGGGGCGTTCAAAGCTGATAATCAGCGAATTCTAGCATTGAGCATTGAGTCTAGTGCTGAGGTCTGAAAACCCCAGAAGCTTCCCCTTCCTGATTCCAAATGGAACGTCCAAATGAGATAATAGCTAGGATAGTCTGTTGACCCACTATTACATCATTTTCACATCGAGTATCTGATCACTGAGAAGGAAATCCCAAGGCTCATTATCGCATAGCACACCCGGATGAACTGTGCATCACTCGGATGGTTAAAGGGCGCTTTCAAGAACGCATCAACCAAATGAGTCTAATGACGCACGAATAATTTGTTGATTACCACGAAACTCGCATTACTTTTTCATTAATGCATATTGACAGTCGAATGCACTCTTCAATTCTCCGGGATGAATTATTCAGGAGTTAATAAATTTTGCGAAATTAATTCCATCAATGATGAGTAATAAATTAATAGTTTGGGTCCTTGGAAAAAATTATTTTTCGCGGCGTGGAATATTGCAATCATCCAATGCTGCATGTCATGAATAAATATTATCTAGCTGTTACCGTGACCAATAAGCCTCCTGCAAGGATAATTGTCTCTGGAGATTGCCCCCTGTTTGGTTCCATCGGGTATCAGTGCCCTGAACTTCTTCCCCGTGTACCGTTATCGGACGAATCTGAATTTCTGCCTGAATCGAATTTTCCTCGGCCAGGGAATGGCAAAAATTACCTACTCCTCTCCTCGACATGCCCTTTTTTTATCCACTCAACAGTTTTGTTCACTTTATTTCACCAGCAAACCCACTCCAAGAAGAAATTTTATGGATCGAATATTAAGTGCACTCATGAAATATTCGTCTATGTTGTCGAGGACTGGATCTTTAAGATGACATTTTTGTCGGGTTCACCATCCAGGGTAATCTCAAAAAATCTTTAGGGAAATTATGACAATATGAATGCTTTATTGTTTTTTTGTTTAAGTGATAATTAATAAGTGATAAAATGTAAAAAACAACTATAAAAAAACTTTTAATTTCAATAACCCAAAAAAAATCGATTCTATCTGGAATTAAAGGGACTACAAAGAAATCCTTTGAAATAAAATATATATGGTAAATTAAAAAATTATAGTAAATTTATGCTGAATATTATGTAATTCTGTAAAATTTTGAATTGTAAAATTCTAGAGATCTAATGAAGATATCGAAATTTTTGTAATGACCTTTTTTAAAGATCTAGTTAAGACCTACAATAAAGGTCATTAAAAAATTTTTGCTATTCCTCGTCTACAGTGCGAAACTCGCGTCATTGCCTCGTTGCCTTATTTCCACATTCCCCCAAACTTGTTTTTATACTTGACAAAGTTCTGGGTAGTTTTCACACCTAGATTCACCATTGAAAATTTCACAGGGACAGTGTACACCACGATGAAACGTTAATTCTATACTGAGCCCAAGTAGCATAGACCATAATAAAAAGAATGGAGTTTAGCAAGAGGATGTGTGCTAGAGAGATACCGTGACTTCCTTGCACGTCCTGTACAAGGGGATACCGCAGATAACAACTCAACTACAAGTATAAAAAAAAATAAAAATAAACTACAATTAATTTAGTCGTTAATTTCACGCTTCCTCGTGCACGTGATTGGAATTTCAAGCAACAAAAATATAATCATCCCACGAGGACATTAATTCCATCAATTATATATATTAATCTATATTAATTATCTGTCAGATTAATAATTTAACTCGGACTATCGACAGCTCTTTAAAAAACTGCAGGAATCGAAAGAAAGTGTTATCCAAGAATAATTATTCAGAATTAATTTCAGAAACAAAAAGAATTGAAAAATATTCTAACACACGATTTTTTATGAATAAAAAAAATGATTGAGTTTCGGTTGATGGATTAATAAAAATAAAATTGTATTGAAAATGGGGAAAATTATTGATCGTGTTTGATATAATCTATATTTCAATTTAATTGTGACATTTTAATAATTGCTGGTATGAAGGATAAATAAGAGAGAAATGTTATTAATTATTCTTCTGTTGTTCTTTCCTGTCATACGTTGAGATTAATTCGGTGAATTATCAAGGTGCTTTAATAGCTCTAGTTGTCATCGCTGGAGCTTCTGGTCCCTGAGGGCCTGGAAGGGATATATCATCTCATATTTCCAGCATCCAGTTTCGGACAATGTTGGAGAGGTGAGTCGAATGAGCAACGATTGTTCATGTACACGAGCATCACTGCAGTTGGTGAAAGAGGGACCGGTCGATGCACTTCTTCCTGATGTACATACACCACTGATGTACATAACCAGTCCATATAAGAAGCGTTGCACACCTACTGCCTCCACCAGTTTGTATATGAGGTATTCCATGCCAAATGAGTCAATGACTGACACTCTCCTTCTTGAAACTTTACCTCATTATTTATACGATTGGGGAGTTACTAAACAAGTGTCTACATTTTTTACCAGTCTTTTTTTTAATTTAAATTGTTTTTTATCAACTTCAGCAGCAAAATGCGAAACTAGGACGAGTGCAGTTTTTCCAAGCCAGTTTTTTTTTTGCTGATATCTTGGAATTGAAGGAAGATAGGGATATTTTAGTGGATAGGTTTTTTGTAGAGAAAGAAGAGAGCTAGAGAAAAAGTATTTACGAAAAAATCACTACTACCGTTCAGTTTGGAGGTATTTAATAAAAAATGGTTTTCTTGTTTATTTTTTTCGTTTTCGATTTGGGATGAAAGCATTTTATTTCTTCAATCCATTCGAAATTAGAAAAATAAATATAAAAGTAGCATGAGTATGAAATAAATAAACAAATCCATAGTAAATTGAATAAATATAAAAATTCGGATGCATCACAGATGAAAATTGGATGAATGAAGTTGGAGTTGAGTGAAAGAAAAAATAATGATGACAGCTTTGAAAAATCTGCGGTAAAAAAATCTGTAAATGATGGAGAGACAGTTTTGCTAGAGAAATCTAGTTCAATTTCCAAGAGGGTGAGGGTCAGTCGTTGACTCATTTGGTGCAGAATAAATCATATCACTCTCAAGTTTCCACCCAACACTCGATTCCGAGCAGCTAAATTATATTTTGTCGGTTAACGTAAGAGGAATTCATGTAATGTACGTGATAGGACAGAACAAAAGGCTTCCTAGAGGGATAATTGAAAGGCTTGGGTTGTGTGGGCTGGACATTGTTAAGCCTCCCTCGTAATTTCATTGACATGTAGATTTATGAATTCAGAAACAGCGATAGTGACTTAAATACTAGGTTGACTGAATAAACTATTGTCAAAAATGGATATTTCATATATTTTTCATGCATTCGCTGATAATTCACGAAAAAGGATTAACTCTAGTCCCAGTTCCTGACCCGATCTTCAATAACAAAAGGAAACGCTTCATTAACGACGTACAGTAAAAAATAAAAATTATTTCTATCAATGATTGATTTATTTAGAAGTATGGATTTTTATTTAAAAAATGGATAAAATTGGATTTAACAAATTTGTTGAATACGGAGATAAACAAAATGATATTAATTAAATTAATAATAAAAAAAAATGTTATATCCCACGGAATCATTTGTTTGATCGTGAAAATTTATAGAATTTATAGGATTGTAACTTAGAAGAACTAGGAATTTGCATTTACAATTTGTAAGGAATAAAAACTGACCTCGATGTGTCATCGGAAATTGGATTAGTCATCACAAGGAAATTATTATCACGCGATTTCTCCAGTAGTTTGTAAAAGCCATTCGACAAGAATATCCAAGAAAATACGTCGTTCAGCACTTTTCATGCTTGCCACAAATATAAATCAAAGTTTTTTTTAGTCACTATGAATTCAACACATAAAAATGCGGAAGAATCCAGTGGAATGCCAACATTTCCGTAGAATTGCAAAGCAGGCAATTTATAGAGGTGCGAAGATTTTTTTTCTTTTCAAACATTATCTCGTTTACAGTCTAATAATGTTTGTAAATTCACCGCTGGATGTCCACAATTTCATTGAATTAGTGTCAAAAATTTTAATAATTAATTTTGAGGGCTGACTTGTTGAAATTTTTATTGTATTCAACGCCCATTCCACTGAAAATTTATTAATTCAATGAATCCTACCCAAAATGTTTATAACAACCTCAGTAAACAATTTGCTATAATTATCATGAGATTAAATAAACCGGAATACTCTTGTATAATAATCCATGTAATCCCATTCTATTTCCATTTACCATTTGAAAAAGTGAAATAAAAAAAAAATATTTTTCAATGACAAGAATCTTATCAAATATCTCGGAATTAAAGACAAATAGCGATATTTTGATAGAGACCTTTGTTGTAGCTCTCATTTTTTCCTATAAAAAATGTATCGTCGCAAATGTTGCTATCTGTCTTCAGTTCCAAGATATATGCTAAAATGGTTGTTAATGGAAAAAAGGAGTCGTTCCAGTTCTCCAAGTTGGTATTTTCATAGCGGGAGGAATGGCTCGGTTGGTTTCACCTTTAGACCCAAAAAGTATGGTTTTTCCATTTCTGGACAAACAAGAAAGCCTGTTATTGGAGGCGCACAGCAACAGCAGTATGAAATACGAGTAGTTTATGGGTCGTCGAAGCAGAAATAAAGCAAGCAGAGAGACTCGGAGGAAGAGGGCAGGTGGCATCGAGTAATCAACGTGGTATATACACAGAAGAACAGACTAAAGCTGGTGAGTCTTGGCTTGTATTCCCTCAAAAATGGCTACTGCAGGATTTTTTTTTATCATAAAAATAGAGGGAGAAGAAAAGAAATGCTGGGGAGGAGAGTCATCCTTCTGCTGTGGAGCTCACGTTTTCGCCAAATACCAGACGCCAGAAATGTATGTATCAAGTAAAAGAAAACGTCTCTCCTTCGACTTTCCAAGAAGTCGCCGAACGATGGGATGAAACAAAGAGATAGGATGAATAAAACGTGGAGAAGGGAAAATTGACGACGAAAAATATGTCCACGTCATGAGAGAATTCGAGACTGCAAAGTTGATGAGTGCAGGTTAGAAGGAATTCCTATGAATCCATCCGGTATTTTTAGTATTTTCGTTATTTTTACTCTCGAGTTGACATTTACATTGATTATTTATGTATACTGGACTAGGACACTGGAGATTTATGGGGGAAGCTGGAAGGAAATTTTTTCGAGCTGTTCTCATTCAAAAATCTGTTTTTCAGATTTTTTATTTTGAACTATTAAAGAAAACGAAAAAACTGGAATTCTAATCTAGTAATTCACTATTTTAACGCCTGAATTTTTTTTACAGAAATGCAAAGCAAAATGACTTCTCAGAATCCAAAAACTATAAGAACAAAAAACTCGGGTTTAATTATACCACTTTGCTATTGAATTCTATTACTCCAAATTTTTTAGCTTCGAATTTGGTTTTACACAGTTGTGCAGCACAATGGTGTCCCAGAATTGGAAAAAAGTTGGAAATCCAACGTCAAAATGAAGGGAGAGAAAAAAAACTGGGGCTTAATTATGCAGAAAATTTCAGAGCTCTCATCGGTGCCAGCACACTCACTGAGACAATGTGCCTCAAGGATGAATGCAGTTTCTCCTTCCCTTTTGCCATTCCCTCGTACAATTTCCCCTCGAAATCGAAAAGAACATTGTGAATCCAAAATGCCTCCACATTAACGAACCATTGATTAAATCATTACCGAATTTCCGGAATCATTTGAATCCTCCCCATGCACCAATATTCAATTACCACTGAAAATTAATTAAAAAATTTTGAATTTTCTGTGAAATTTAATTAAAAAATTTGAATTTTCTGTGAAATTTGAAACTGATATTTTTCTCTGAATTTTTTTTAATGAAACATTTTCCAGAATCAATCAGAGAAAAATGAAGAATTAAATTGAATCAAAAAACAGTCGGAGCCCCTATTACTTTTCTGAGGATTGACCACCCCGCATTGTTGAACGCAACTAACAATTTAATTTAATAATCTTCACCGGCACTTTTGCCTCGCGATGCGTGTCTTGAAAAAAATTGCACATACTCAGGCATTGAATGCACTCCAGCAACATAACATACTCGAACGCTCCGTAAAATTAGAATTCCCCCATTTTAGCCGTGTGAAAAACAACGCATTAGTAGACAAGAAAAGAGCAGTAAAAAAAAAACCATAGATGGACGAATAACCGACACTATGAGAAAAAAAATATTCGTGCCAACCAAATCTCTTTCAGGCATTTAAAAATTTCTCTAATTCTCTCTAATTCAACAGTAACAATCGCAATTAAACTTAAATTTTCATGGATAGGGATCATTGATATTTCAAGGACAGGTTCGAATTTAAATCTCATTATGAAAATTGACCATTAAATTCCATTAAATTTCGGATAGCTTGATAATTTAAGAAAGTCATTATCCAAATTTTCTCTACTTTCCCTCATTTTTCAGTATCGTCAGCCTGAAAATGACAATTTCATCAAACTTCCACGAAATTACGAGATTTTCAATTCAAAGAAAAATGGAGCAGAAAGTAAAAAGTCATATTACAAACAATTATAAATAAAAACCAGGAATTTTCTGTTTATACAAATGCAAAATGATTAATTTATTATCACGAAAAATTCCAAGCAGAATTTCCGATTCCCGAAATTGAGTTGAGTTTTTGTATATAAAACCAATAGTAAATGGTCACTTGTAAATTTAATCGTGATAAATAAATAAATAAATGAGTAAATAATTTTTCATCAAATTGAGGAATTGTCTCTCTCCACAAAACACATATTTTCGGTGGACAAGGACACATGACTCCAATACATTCGCCCCCCTTTAATTCCCCTCTGCAATGAGTCGTCTGTGTCACACAGTTGGTTTTGGATATCCCCGTTTTTATGGATTCGTCACGAGAACACCCTCCCTCCTTTGCCAATTGGGGTCTCCTGAAATAAACCCCCAGTACAAAAGTATAAATCCACCCCCGAAACACCCTCTCGCTCCAGATACAAAAAAAAATGACTCTCAGTTCGATATCATTCCTATCCTTCTTGACCAATTTAAAAATAGATTGTACATAGTGTTAACGTCACCCAGGAATGAAGGAAAGACGAGAAGTCGAACCGAACTCGTTTCTCGTTTAATGAGTCTGGGGTGTCCTTGTGGGTGTAATTACGTGGTTTTTCTCAATGACAATGACAACGTCAAGAGTATCGGCTGAAAGTCTCAGGCAACGTTGTGAAATTATCTGGAAAATCTTACAAACAAATTTACAACAATTGTCTGAAGAAATACCCAAGTCCTCTCTCGTGGTTTTTATTTTCCTTTAGAGCAATGCTCGTTATTTTTTTTATTTCCGTGGTTTTTTTCAATGACGGTGGGATGACAAGGCTATCGTCTAAAAGTCTCGGCAGGAGATGAGAAATTCCTGGAAGATGTGAACTTTTACTGTTTATAAGATACATTTCCTGCCGTTTACTCTCTTTTTCCGAAAAAATTCCGTATGAAGGAGTGCAGACGATTTTCCGTTGAATAAACTTGAATCGATTTATTTCAATTGACTTATTGACACACAATCACTTCGAAATACCGTCTGACTCACAATTAAGACACCACGACAAGACGATGTGTCAGCAACTGATTTCATTTCTCAGGTAGAACGTGTCATAATCTGGAGAAATGATAAGGATAAGCCACGATTATTTCCTATTATCAACATCTACGCATTAAAATTATCACCTCCACTCGGTATTATCACCCCTTTTTCCTGCCATTTCCAGAAGACAATGGATGAAGTGAAAAACTTTCCACTCATCAACAAATGCGTTAAACAAAAACCGGATAAACCTGATGTAACGATGACAAGAGAGCATGAGGAAACATTGCTTTCGATTTCAACGAACGGGAAAAACCTGTGAAAACACGAGCATGTGCCCAATGATTGTTGAGTTGAATACCCCACACTGACAAAACCCAGAGTGATGGCTAATTCCGGATGTCGAAGACGTGCCTGCAGAATAATTATGCTCGCCATCCCCAAATCACTTCGACAAACCCCCAAAACCCCGTAAAACAATATCAATAAAATAATTAATGTGAAAGAAAAAAAAAACGCCCTTCACCCCCGTCTCATCCATGACTTCAATATAAAGGGAGTGGAGCAACTGACGTATAAACAACGAGGGAAATCCGCTTTAGGGGAGGACAAAGGGCCCCAGAGTTGCCCTCAATTGTATTTCCACAAAACAAATGCCAGATAATAATTGCTCCATAGATAAATAAAGGACAATAATATATGTATATATTTTTAAAAAACTCACGTCATGGTCGTTGAGCTGGGGGGTAAGTGCTATGCCCTCATGCACAATGAATTTCTTCCTCTGCACAGTATATCACTGATACCATGAAAACACGCAAGATTCGGACACGATTTACGATAATTCGACATAAATAATAACAATGGTCAGTTATTAACTGGTGTTTTTTTTAAATAAAAAAAGGTTAACTGTTCACACACACAACAAACACGACTTTTTTTTCTCTCTTTCGTGGACACTCCGATGATTTTTGGTACACCCTACCGCTGGCACATCTGGCCGGCCATATTGCCGACTATCGCGTTGAAAATGTGTCCCCCTTGCTGCGGCGGTGCAGAACACACCAGGATTCAACCAAACGTGAGCAACAGAGATGTCAGTTAACTCTCGCTTTTTAACTGAAAAAAATTGTGTGTCTGTCCTTGTTCGGGGCATGGGCTCGCCGCATCCTCCTCGCGCACATCAGCTTCGAGACCACTTCGAGACATCGATACTATCGATTTTACTCAATTTTACTCCACGCCTTTCGAGAAACGAGATACATCAGCGCTGCACTTCGGAAAATGGTCGACAATCGAATTCAGGTGGTCAACACGTGTCGGTAAGAAAGGGAAAATTTAAATTTTATGGTGAAAAATATTATTTATTATGCGAATGAAAAAATAAATTGTGGTATACGTTATTATGTAGTTATACGATTAATTATGACGCTATAAATCTTTCGTTGTTTCAAGTATTATGACATTTCATGTCACATCACATGACCAACTGGCTGGCCCATCGTAACGTTCAATAATCATTCCTTCGACTTTTTATACTTTTACGTTTTTTATGTGAATAAACTCCGAAATTTGGCACAACATACATAATGTACTCTCACGTTTTCGTATTTTAGTGTAAAATCCGGAGATTGTCTATGGATCAATGGTAAATGACAGATTTACCTCAATGAATCAGGCGACTTTGCATGGCTCGCATCGAACAAATGAAGTATATGTTTTTTTTTAATAGGATTGTCCCTGTATTATTGACTGAGCGACAATGTTTTAGTTTCTTTATGGAGCATACCGAGGCGCAATTGTTGTATGAATGCCAGGAACATGCGACGCGGTGTGCGTTCGACATATCCAAAGTGGAAATATGTGGAAATTTTTCGTGTACAATTGATGATCCGCAGTAGCGGAGTTGAACAAATAATTGGGTTTAATATAAGTGATTGATTGAGGTGTTGATCGGAGAGATGATACAGCAACATTGATTATCAAGATGGACTGATGGACAGTTGGAGATGAACAATTCTGTTTTTGTCAGTTCTGCGAAAAACGCACTTGTGCAACGCCATTTTGTGACCACGCACGGTAGAGACGTAAACATCAAACTTTCTAATCGTGTTTATTGGGCCCTCGTTATGTCATTATTTGGGGTGATAAGGGTTTGAGGGCCATTGGGGATATCTGGTGACTTGTTCAGGCATTTGGAGAGGCGGTCCAGTGATTGGGGATAGATTATGCTGGACGAGGGCTAGTTGTTTTCGCGCCAATTCGAATCTAGATATGCACCTGGTACATCTGGCTCTCGGAGACAAACAGCTGGACAGTCCACGTTAATGCACAATTATCATAACTTTACCCACTATCTCTCCGAGGATATTTATTGCGGATTCACAGAGGTATGTTTTTAGTTTTTTTTATAGCCTACGTTAATCATCTGTTTGATAATAAAGTTTCGTGGAATTCGGTGGGAAATGTGGAAAGCCAGACAACACCAATTTTCCCGTTTTCATCAACATCGAATGATATCTGATAAAGTTGGGGATTTGGGGGGAAATATATAGAGATATTTATCGTTGAGAATTTAATCAGCTTTAAAAAAGTATTCGGATGTTTTCCCCGTGAATTGATAATTTTCGAGATGAATCGACGTGTATTTGTATTTATGTTTATCGTGTATAAATTTTTAGTGTTGTTATCAATGAATTTGTTTAGAAAGGAAAATATAATAAAAAAATATATTCTGCAGGAGAATTAGAATCAGATTAATATTATTATCTCAGAGGTGGTAGTGATTATATTTGAAAATTTAGACGGCAATTGAGAATTAGATTGAACTCGAAATTTGATTTGTCTCAGTCTTGGTCAATTTTCCACTGAACAATCGAGTGAATACAGTCTAAAATAACTGACATTTTATATTACAGGAAAGACCCACAAGGGTGTAAGGGTCTCTCCATAAAGAGTCTATTTTTGAGTGATGCATCGAGGCCAGACCAGTGTTGATGTCAGAAAAAAGTGAAAAATGTCTGGTGATTCAGGATGGAATGCCGTTATCCATCACCCATCGGAGTTGGAGTTGCAAAATTGGAATTGGGATGACAACGATCATGAGCAGGAAAGAGAGTTGCCATCAACGGTAGACATGGATGCAATAAAAGGTGGTGGCAGTTGGGATCCAGCAAATGGGCAGAATGAAACGGATTCAGTGGACTCCGAGGAGGATTCAGACTCGGACGATGACAGTTCAGCTGGCTCTGATGGCAGTTGCTCATACTCAGATTCCGAATCAGACGACGAGACGAGTGGTGACGACTGCGAGGACTCTGGATCAAATACAGACTGTTCGTCAGAGCACAGCGAACAAACATTTCTCATCAGAGAGACAAACTTCGAGCCGGGCTCCCTCAAACTCAAAATCAGTATGAAGGCGCAGAAGAAGGAGGAGGCAGAGAAGAAAAATGAAAAGGCCAAAAGAATAATAACGAGAAAATCAAAAATATTTAATGCCAAAACGTCCGAGTGTCTGACTGAGGATTCAGACTCGTCGGCTGGTCCAACGAGTGTAAATCCATCGTCCTCTGGTGAAAAACAGTCTGCCCCTCAGCCACTCCAGGAGCTCAATCAGGAGCACTTGTCAGCAATTTTACCAGAGCAAGAGGACACACCCTTCGACGGTTTCGAGGACTCTGAGAGTGGTAGACTTGTTTCCAAGGCCATCGAACGAATGTCCCTGGGGGCTGACTCAGACTCGAGTGACAATGTCGATGACAATCCAGTGCCAGTCTACAGCTCAACGTTGCTACAGCAATTCGTCGAGAAGACGCAGCTCCTCTCTGAGCCTAGAAAACGCAGAAGCAAATTGGTAAAGAAAAATAATGAAACCGAGTACGCATGCATCTCGAATGTGTCACCAGATTCTGGGATTCAATCTGTGGACAACAGCCCACTTCATCTGGCTGTTCCAACGAGTCCTGGGCCCTCGCAGTCACCAGTGCAATCAGCTCCAATGAAGCCCGCTGTAAATGTCGACCGTGTCCTTTATCCCCCAAAACGAAAGCCTGGTAGACCCTCGAAAACCGTCTCGAGTCAGCCTCGAGGCCCTGGTAGGCCAAAAAGTACAGATAAAATTGAAAAAATGGAAGGTACCAAGAGCCCACCTGTCGATGCTAAAAAGGAAGATCCAAAAAAGATTAAAACAACGTCAAAGTGTGGTAAAAATGTCAAACAATGTGCTAAAAATCAAAGGTTAAAAAATAATACTAAAAAATCCAGCCCCTTGAATGAAGATGCATCATCTGATAATATTAATGAACAATCTTCCGTGGATAAGTGCCTCAGTAATGTAAAAAAAGTGAATAAAGAGAGTAGTAAAACGTGTGAGCAAGTGTGTACAAAAGTCAAGCAAGTCAAGAGCATTGATACAGCAAAGTGCATCAATACGTCTCCATCTCGACAAAAAATTAATGTCGAAGCGGCAGCTGAGGAAAAAGTCATAAGAAAGAGCTCCAAGGAGAACAGACTCGAAATATCTCCCCAGAATAACAAGAAGCAAATTTCTACCAAGAAGACTCTTCCGCCACCACCTCCTAGAAGAGTTCTAAAGGAAAATAAAAGCAGTAAAAAGACATCTGAAACAAATGTAGTTGGTGTTCAAACCGTAATATCACTCCCAGTAGATCTAAAACCCCAAATAGCCGATTCAAATCGTCACTCCCTCAAATGTGATAAACCAATTCAGCCAGTCTTGAAGAATCGTCACAAGCATCATCACAAGCATCGTCGAAGAGTTGTGGTACCTCCAAAGACACCAATAAGAATTGATCCATCAATCGTCGAGGAGCTTGAAAAATTAATCGAGGATTTTGCCAGTGCCTGTAGTTTAGGAAGGAACAATACGAATTCTAGTAGCTCTGAGTTGCCACAGATATTTCGTGTGAAGAAAATAACGAAAAAGAGAAAGGGCGAGGGAAATTCCAATGACGATCAGAAACTCAAGAGAAGACTGAAGAAGGAAAAGCCATCGAATGATTTGAAAAGCAGTCAGAATTCTAGTGCACCTTCCAATCCTAATGAGCAAAGACTTCCATTGAAAAAACGACACTATCATCTGTCTAGTCCCCACAGCTCTCAGAGCTCAAATGCCAGTTGTACAGAGACTAATCCAAGAGACGAGTCAAATTCCATGGAGAGTCATATTGAGGAAGCCATTGAGGCGACTATTGAGAGATACAGCAGTCCTGGAAGTTCTCAGAAGGAGATTGATACGATGAATCTGAAGAAGAGATTGAGGGAAGCTGAGACGACTGCCCCTTCAGTCTCTCCTGGCAGTGACAGCTCTGACGAAGGAAAACCATTAAACAGACTCGAACCACCAAGAAGAAAAAAGAAAATAGTGAGAGATCTTCGAGTCACCGTCACCAAACTGTCATCCGACAATCACTCCCCCATGCCAGATAAATCAGATACCAGAAGTAACGATAAGAAGACCTTGGACAAATTAACAAGAGCCGATAAAGCATCTGATAAAAATAAAGCAACAGCAAAAGACCTTGAAAAAAGTGAATCCAAGGATGATACCACCACAAATCCATCAAAAACACCTGATGATAAAACATCCTCTGATAAGAAGGATAAAAAAGACGTTAATCCTATGTCAACAGCTCCAGATGCTCCAGATGCGGTTGTCCCTGTTCCAAAGAAAAAAATTCGAAGAAGAAAGGCTATAAATCGTACCGGATTTCCCACCTTGAAAAAGAAAAAGAAGAAGAAACCGGTAGCTCCTGAAACCCCAGCAGCTGATGCCTCAGTCGACCTTGAGATATCAAAAATCGAGGAAAAATCAGTTGCCTCAGAGGCTGATGCCAATCCCCTGCCACCGAAGAGCGATGATCACAAAGACAGCGAGGACGAGGGACCTCTCGAGCTCAAGGACTTCCACGAGTCTTCCTGTCACAGTTTCTCCTCCGATTTGGACACCTGCCCAGGACACCTGCGAGTTCGACGGGATCTTGTTGAATGCAATGGCAGCAGACCCTGCGACAAGCTCTGTCCAGTGAAATTCGAGAAGATTCAGGACTCGAGAATTTATGATGAGAATGCAACCCTCGAGGAGTCGCTCGAGCGTTATAATCAGAGTCAGCGGATAGCAGAGCTGAGTGAGGAGAATGTGAAGAAATTGGACAGAGCGAATTCTCACATGCGAATGGAATTGTCAGGATGTCTGAATAATAATCACAAACGTCGAAGGGGCTCCACCAGTCCCTGCAACTTGACATTGAGAAGCATAAAGAGGCTGAGAAATGCTGGGTATGACACAGAGAGTGACGCTCTTCCAAGCAGTGATGTTGCCAGTGACGAGCCAGAGTTGGGAAAGCAACAGGGATCTTCTCACACCAGAAGGAAGCAGCCCAGATGGAAGAAACGATATCTCCCAGCTGGATTGTTCTCTGATTACTACAAGGACGATGAGCCCAGGAAATTATCAAATACTGATGGAAAGAATAAACTGACTTACGAGCCCTCTGAACATCCCCATGGACTCCTCCCTCCCCCCTACCACTGTGGAAAATTCCTACGTCAAAGAAAAATACCCTTTCAACTACCCTACGATCTCTGGTGGCTGCACACCCACTCGAGACTCCCTGGAAGGGACCTTGTGCCCTCCTGGAACTATCGAAAAATCCGAACCAATATCTACTATGACGTTAAACCAACGACTCTGTACGAGGCTCAAGGCTGCGAATGCAAACCAGATTCTGGTTGTGGTGATGATTGCATCAATCGCATGGTCTTCAGTGAGTGTGCACCTCAGTTGTGCCCATGTGGAGAAAAATGCGAGAATCAGAAGATCCAGAGACATGAATGGGTGCCTGGACTTCAACGATTTATGACTGAGAGCAAGGGCTGGGGAGTGAGGACCAAGGATTCCATTAAATCTGGGGTTTTTATCCTGGAGTATGTAGGTGAAGTCGTATCTGAACGTGAATTCAAGTCCAGGATGGCAACGAGATATGCCAATGACACTCACCACTACTGTCTTCATTTGGATGGGGGTCTGGTTATTGATGGACACAGGATGGGTGGTGATGGGAGATTTGTCAATCACTCGTGCGAGCCCAACTGCGAGATGCAGAAGTGGAGTGTCCATGGGCTTCCCAGGATGGCCCTATTTGCATTGAGGGATATAAAATCTGGTGAGGAATTAACTTACGACTACAACTTCGCTCTGTTCAATCCCTCAGAGGGGCAGGAGTGCAGATGTGGAAGTAATGCATGTCGAGGAGTGATTGGAGGGAAAAGCCAACGAGTTGCCAGGAGTGTGCCAGCCCCACCTCAGGTAGAGTCATCTGAGCGTAAAGCAGTTGGTCGACCCAGGAAGAACGTTCGTAAATCAAACGTCGTCCAAGCCACATCAAAAGGCCTCTGCAAAACTCGTAAAATAGGGGACTCCAGTCTCATCAATACTCCTACGATGAAACCAATGTCTCACCAGCAGAGGTGCTTTGCTCAACAACACCACTGCTTCCTTCTGAGAAATCTCGAGAAAGTTCGACGAATGAAGGTGCCTCTTGTCCAGCCATCACCAGTCACTGGTAAAGCCAAAGATAAAGCAGTTGTAGCTGTCAAAGAAAAAGCACCAGCTGACAAGAATCATGCAGATGCATTCTTCACTCAACTCAATGCACTCACGAATAATCCATCGAGAACTGTGAGAACTCGTAGCCTAGCTCAAGCCCAGGACGATCCTGAAGTCAACAAAACAGCTAAATTGGCTAAAGTATTGAAGGATTTGTATACTGTTGTCTCATCAGCTAACGATGAAAACGATTTACCGCTGTGCACTCCATTTATAAATCTTCCACCGAAAAGAAAATTACCCGAGTATTACGAGAAAGTTCAGGAGCCAATTGACTTAACAATGATTGATCAGAATATTGGAACAGGCCATTATAAGACAGCCGAGCACTTCGACCAGGACATCATTAAATTATTCGATAATAATGTCAAATACTTTGGAAGAACATCAGAGATTGGGATAGCTGCAGCCAGATTGAGAAAACTTTATTTGGGAAGCAAAGCTGATTTTATTGATGCTATAACCGAAGCAACTGGTGCACCACCTGCTCAGGGCTTCCTGCCGCCCCAGGGATCGACAGCTGGGGAAGAAGATGTTATCAGGTGCATATGTGGACTCCACAGGGATGAGGGGCTGATGATTCAGTGCGAGAGGTGTCTCGTATGGCAGCACTGCGATTGTGTTAAAGCTGACACTAGTGTTGAGTCCTATTTATGCGAGAGGTGTCAGCCCAGGGAAGTCGATCTTGAGATACCACTCGAGGGTGAGGAGGAAGAGGGAAAGAAGCATTTTGTCACTCTTCTCAGGGGTGAATTGCAGTTGCGGCAAGGGGACACGGTTTACGTTCTTAGGGACACACCTGAGAAACACACGTACAAGACTATTCAGAAATTTGATTATGAACAGATGGATATATTCAGGATTGAGAGGCTATGGAAGGACGACAAGGGGGAGAGATTTGTCTTTGGTCATCATTATTTGAGGCCTCATGAGACTTATCATGAACCAACCAGAAAATTTTATGAGAATGAAGTGGTTTGCGCACCACTTTATGAAGCTGTCCCTTGTGATTTGGTAGCTGAGAGGTGCTGGGTACTCGATCCACATACCTTTTGCAAGGGACGACCTGTTGGGGCCACAGCTCAACACACCTATGTGTGCGAGTACAGAGTGGATCGAGCTGCCAGGCTGTTCACCAAGGTCGCCAGGTCTCGACATCATGTCTGCACTAAACCTTATGCCTTCGAGGTCTTCCCACAGAGGATCAAGCATTATCGTACTTATTTGGTGAGATATCTCGCACTTTCTATGTATTGTTTATTGATCTAGAAAAAATATATTGACGATAATTTCTGATTTTTATAGCCACACAGTTTAGAAGGCATTCAATCCACCAAAGCAATCAAGGATAAGAAGAAGAATAACTCATATCCGGATCCCGATAATAGTCACAAGACGGAAGGGAGTGAGGGGAGAATCAATGGGAAAGATCAGATTAAATCAGTCAATAAAGCTCGACGTAGATCGTGTGACGAGCACAGGATTACACCTGCTGTTTCATTTGCTCAGGTGAGTCATTGATCGAGAAATCTATGAGTAACGTGTATTGGTGTTGATTGTCATTAACGTATATTAATTTTTAATCGTTTTTGTTTAATTATTGTATTATTATATTAATTTAAAAATTTGTCATGTTATTTTTCAGAGAGAGGAACAACGAAAGAGACTGAATGGAATATTAACGAATCTGTTGCAAAGAATGCCGAATAAGAAGGATCCTCTGGACATGTCATTCCTGCTCGAACGTAATCGGCGCAATCGTAAAAGACCAATGGCTCCAAATCAGTGATCCTCGAGGAGGGGAAAATGACTATAAAAAATAAATCCCCTTTATCCACCACTAATTATATCAACTGATCATTGAGGGACCCGATCAGACCGGGTATAATCCATTCTCTCGGACTTTTATAGACCGTTTTAGACGTGTATGTACAAAAAAAAGAATTACCTTAAAATCATGTCTCTACACATCTATCCCGTCCATTTGTCTTACGTACTAATTCAAACGACAACTTTCCAATAACGAAAAGGTGTATTCGATGTCGCGAGAATAATTAGGACCCATAAATTTTTTACTCCACTGGAATTATCATGTCATTTATAATATCTCACGAAATCCTGATCCTTTCATCTTTTTTTTATTTTAAATTGGGTGCACGGTCTAACAATTATGATGAAAAAAAATATGTACAGAGTTATTTGTAAATTATTTCCAATTTTTATTAGAAAAATCAAACGTTGTTAAGATCTTATAGTTGATTGTACAAATTGTGGAATGAGGGAGACGTTTAATTATTGGAAAAATAATGAAAAATTAAGGGCGCTAATGTAGCGTCGAGGTAGCTTTGTTGCACAAAAATTGATGATTGAAGAAAAAATGGAATATTATATTTTTCATAATCCCCCGGTGTTAACGGATGTAAATTAGAAATTAAATTAATAGACGAGAGGAAGTTTACTTATGTATTTAAATTATTAATATTTTTATTCATCACTGGTGGTGATGATTATTTTCCAGCGGCCAGTTGAGGGTCTCAAAAGTGTCTTTTTTGCTCGGAATACGAAAATGTAAATATTTCATCATGAATATTTATTATTATTATTATATTGATTATATTATTATTATCATGATTATCGTAATGATTTTTACGTTGAATAACGCTTGTTGCGACACACATCGATCCCCTTGAAGATCACAAATGCACACTTGCACTTGCCTCAATGCCAGATGATTTTTAACGATTAGTTATTAATGACTCCATGTACCTTTTTATGAAGAAAAGAAATAATATAGTTAAATTCTTCTTTCGATTAATTAACCATGACTGTAAGAGATAAATTATCGATTTGTTGTTGCACTTTATTTTATTAAATTCGACATTAAAGTTTGGAAAAATTAATAATTACGAGTCGAGTTTTAATGTGGCTCTTTTGAAATGTCATTATTATTATTTTTATTTGTTTATGATTTTTTTTTGTTCTCACATTAATGATTGGTATGTTTTTACCTCACATGTGTTTTTGCCATTTGAATGCTCTATCGTTTGAGGGATTTACGAAATGCCCAATCCCAGAGTTTGAGAATATTTTATTTTCTCCATTAAATAGTTGGAATGAATAATAAAGAGAAATAGAATGAATCTCCATTACATGCAATTTTCATCGTTTACTCAACATTTTCCGCCGTCAATGATTTTAAAATTAATGAAAGTTGGATATGATCCATTACAACGGCAGCTTCATGCTAATTTAATGATGTACATTGTATACAACCTACTATATTCTTTTTCTGGAGAACGTAAATAGATGTTTAAATATGCAGAGTATGTTCTTTCATTTACTTCTGATTCCCTTGGTGTTACCAACTTTTCCACGTTTAATTTCTATTTAAACAGGTACTTCAAAAAATAATTAATTCAATTTTATTAACTGAAATCAATATATTTGTTATATACATTCATTACAGAATGATCACGCGTGCATAAAAAATATATTGGATATATTGTTATAGATTTTATTTATCAAATACATTTCATGCCTCAAACATTAAAAAAAACTTAAAAAATTAATTTGAAAATAAATTGCTAATTTATTCCGACAATAAGCAATTATTTCTGGTTTTATCCTGAAGTGAACGTCAAATTCAAATGAATGACAGAACAAAGTATACAAGACATTATCTTTATTTTATGAATGAGTTTATACATTCTTAACAAATAGATCGTACAATTACCTCAATAAACTCGTAACTCGTGCCCCGCGTATTCTCCATACATTCACGTAAAAAGATTGTGTTGGACTCGACGAAATTATGCGTGCGAATATCGAAAAGGAAAATAAATGAGTCATGATTACCTATCACGGTCATTAATCAGGATTAAAGTACTTACAGATCTAATTTTACTTAAATAATTTTCTCTGGATAATTTTCTCGTTTTTATTCTTTTCTTAAAATATATAGGTCACATACATCACTCAATCGATTGTATTTCAAAATCTGTACTCACACATTTCTACATTAAATTTTCTTATTCACCTCCTTAATCTCAAATTTAGATGTCTCATTCTGTACAGAATTCCATATAACGTAATGTATAATAATAGCAATTATTGCAGGGCTAGAATTGAATAACTAAAGATAATGATTAAAATAAATCATTCATTTCAAACTATCCATATTCGTCTGCAATATTGGGCATCCACTGGATTATATAATTTCCTCAATTTATTATTATGTCAATTTATCATTCAATGCATTCATTAGGCGACAAATGGTATCAATATTTCGTTTCGATACGAGATTTCACTGATGTTTTACACGAATAGAGAGAAAAATGATTGATTGGTAACATATTGCAAAAAAAAAAACATTAATAAATCATGGACTAAGAAATGTATATGCAAACACTTGTATTTTTTACGTAAACAGGAATGTTAGTTGGCTTTTAAGAACGATAAAAATTCTATCCACGAAGATAATCAATCACGAATTTGTAAATTATATTTTTGTAGTATTTTTATAGGCGAATCTGTACATATTTACATAACTTGCCATGAGTGTACTTGCTGATTATATTTATTCTACCACTGTGGTGCCCTTTGATCAACCATTATTAATCAACATTATGTATTTTTACTCAATAATAATTGGATAGTGTAAATTCCCTGTCATCGATGCATTTCCCAATGCACCTCGGGGCTTTGAATATCCAAAATACATGAAAAATATGACATAAGACACAGCTGATGCTAGACACTAGGTCTCTCATAATTGCTGTAACTTGTATAATAAAATATACTAGTTTTAATTAATGGTAAATGTCATTATAGTGTAAAATAAAGATGAAATTACCCGGTGTCAAGTAGACGAATGACATCTCAAAGTCATAATCCAGTGGGTTGTGAACTAAACACTAATGATCCATTGTCCAGCTCTTAATTGCTCTTCATTCTTCCTCTCGTTATTAATCACAAGTACAAATTATTCGTACTTAAAAAATCTATTTTTGTGGTTGAACGCTAGTGTTCGAGGTGTCTGTCGAGTAATTGTAGGAGGGTGTATAACCTTGCCATCCTTGGGGATAGTTGTTGTACGTTGATCCAGTGCTTGTCGTCGATGGTGCAGTCGTTGAACTTGCTCCTGATGGGGTCTACAATCATACAATCATTACTATTTTACCTCAACACTCATTTCTCTATTTAATATTCCTATAAATGCTCACACTCTGTCCACTAGACTGTCCACTGGCCTGTGTCGGTTGACTCCAATACTGATTGTAATACTGTTGATTCCAACTCCCCCAATTGCCATTGCCATAGCCCTGCTGATAATTGCCCTGATTGTAATTCGAGTTGGAACCATATCCCTTCCAACTGCCCCATCCGCCCTGTTGGCCCCCCCATCCACCCTGTCCACCAGTCCATCCCCCCGACGTCTGACCACCACTACCCCATCCTCCACTACCCTGAGAACTTCCACCCCACCCCCCAGACGAGCCTGAATTATGATAATTGCTATTCATAGGACCCCATCCACCACCTCTGGCAGCTCCAGCTCCTCTTCGATCAGTACCACCTCGTCTGTCCGTGTGGGCCCCACGTCTGTCGTTAGGACGATGCATGTGTCCAGGTGGTCCACCACGTCCCCTCCAGCTTCCTGGTGGCCCATAAGGACCAGGTGGTCTCATGTGTCCACCCCTTGGCCCTCGGTCTCTCCAACCACCTGGCATCTGACTACCTCCACGCCACGTTGAATTACGATTTTTATCTGGATAAGCATTTCTCCTGTCACGATAATCTCGAGTCTCCCTGGTATCTCTATTTGGTCGGACCTCACGATTCTCCCTAGGCGTCTCAGAATTTTTCTCAAATCGAGGTCGTTTCGCTGACTGCTGCTGACCAAATCCAGCATCCTTTCCCTCCTTATTGTACGTGACAATGAGTTTCTTAGCCTCTTCCTCGCCAAGCTCCACCCACTCAACCACATCGAATGAATCACCCACCACTGGTGCCCTGAAATTCGCCTTCATCTCCATAATAGCTGAATCAGGCACTTCCTTGCCCTCGACAGCTATACGTTTAGCTGTACGAGACTTGAATTCTTCCTCAGTTGGTACCATAACAATTGCCCTACGTAAAAAACCATGGAAATACCTCATTTTACGTCTCTGGGCAGTAGGATATACATTTGTCTGATCCAATATGTAATTCCGTCTCCTGGTCGCTGCAACATCCAAAAGTTTATTGAGACATCTCGTGCACTTGTCTATGAGAACATCCCATCGTCCATGGTAATTTCTCCTCCTCGGTAATCCAATGACTTTCATCTTGTCGATGAGATTATTAGTACCCAGGATATTGTACATCTTGTCAGGATGCTCCAAAGCGTAATTTGTTGCCCAGTATGTCTTGCCAGCAGCTGGCAGTCCACACATCATCACCATTTCACAGTCCTCTCGCCTCTCAGGTCTCACAGGTCCTGGTGTTCTCTCCTTGATGTCTACCTGGCCAACAGGAACAAAATCCTCGAGTGATCCACTCCAGGGCTCTTCATCCCCAAAATTGCAGACAAATTCACAATTTTTCGTTAAAATGTGAGGAAACAGGGGCTTGTCCTGGAACTCAGTCTTCAAAACCTTGAACGCCTCCCCAAGATTGTTTCCATTCAGGGTGTAACTGATAATTGCTGCATCTCCAGACATGTCGAGATAACATCCAATCACGTCATTCAGTCCAAATTTTGGTCCATAATCCTTGAAATTATTTCCAGTAGAGATTTTACCAGTTCCACCGTAACCGTAGGACAATTTTTCCTCTCCCAGTTGCATCGACGTATGAATAGCAGACCATCCAGCACGCAAAACGTGAGGATATTCTTCATCCTGGAGCATAATACTGCACTCATGTTTAACCTTGACCTCGTAATAGACTTTACCACTGGTAAATCCAAATGATGCTCTAGCTCCAGCCCACACATATCCAAATCCATCGTTGTGCATAGGCGTTGCTGATAAAAACGAGGATCTATCAATGACAAGATTGAGATCCGAATCGTACCAAGATAATAACACTCTGGAGTAATCAATTTCTGGCTCGTCATCAGTTTCAGCTTGAGGTGGAGGACTCTTCTGATGATCAGAACTCGTCGAGCGTTTTCGTTTCCTATCCTTACGATCTTTTCTGTCCTCATCATTCACCTCCTTCTCATCCTCCTGCTTGATCTCTGGTTTCAGGATCACGTCATCATTCGTCTCGTTCTCAGTCTTGATTTGATAATCCTCTTGTTCCTCCTTCACCTGGACGTCTGATGTCACTGGTTTCTCCTCTGGCACTTCTTCCTTCACATCTTCGGGGATTATTTTATCGTCTTCTGGGCAATTGGATTCGCTCTCCTCAGTTACGTCCATTTTTTCGTCAGAGTCTCCAGGCGTCTGGTTGTCTTCGTTTTCGGATGGTATGATATCATCGTTTGTTGGTTCAGGAGATTTTTCTTCCTGGGGAATCTCCATCGGGAGTTCATGTGGGGTATTTTCAATAGTTGGATCCACGGATTTTTCAGGCAATTCTGTGGGTTCTGGTGTCTCAGGTGATGCAACAACGGATTGAGATACTTCTGGTTGTTTTGGTTGTTGGACAGAGTCTTCCTGGGAGGCTGGTGGTATCTCTGGTGCTTCCTCAGCAACTTGGGGAGTACAAGTGTCAGATTTCGATGGCTCATTTAATTCCTCGACAGCTGTCTGGGGAACTGCTCCACTCTGGGGCTCGTTTTCCTCCAGTAGGGCAGCCTCCGTTTCCTTGTCGATAACTGGTGATGCTGGTTTTTCGATTACCGGAGATTTTATCGGCGATGGCTGCTTTTGTGGAGGAGGGGAGAGAACTTTCGCTGGTGCCTTCGTTGGTGTTCCTCTTGGACTCCTTGTTGTTCTCGCTGGAGTTCTTGCAGGAGGTGGGGGCTTACTCGGCTCCGGAGTCTTTGGCCGCTCCTCTTTAGGGGTTGGAGCCTCTGGTGACTCCGGGGGAGATGCTTCTTCAGCTTCTATAAAAATTTCTAAATTCATTTCTAATACGATAATTAATTTTAAAAATATTATAATGGTCCCTTTACCCCTTCCTCTTCCTGTTTTTAATTAGTAATTGAATCGATTGAAATTCAATGAAAAAATGGAATGTTTATTCGTGCCAATGATTACAATTTGTTGGAGTGAGTATTTATTTAAAAAATCATGAATCGCATATTGTGATTTTCTGCAACATCTTTACATAATACTCCATAATGAACCGATTCCACATAAAATTTGATACAAGGGGCTACAAATCTTCCATTCTCAATCAAAATCAAAAGAATGAACTTTAGACTGTTTATCTGCTACCAATAACCCCTAATTTCGCTCTGACAGAAGGCCACAAATTCCTGGACTTGAAACATACATGTAAAAGAGGTTATTCACAGCAATTTCTCTAACTCCACCAAAATTTCCCAAAAAACCATTCCAATTGTAAAACCAACTCCCACAGAATGACTCAACCTGAGTATAAATTTTCCCCTACCATTTCAGAATGAAAAAAAAAACATAATCTCCCGTGATATTACGATATTATTGATAATACCCTTCATCGAGCCAAAAAGAGGAATTCATTATCTCCATCGATTTGGAAAAAAACAACTGGTACGCTCGTGATTGTGAATGGTATCGTGAAACAATCGACAGGCCTATGTAAAGTGAGTGTAAACAACTCCCAAAACTCCAAAAGGAGTCGACTCCTCCTGCTGTTTGAGGTAGATTAAATTAACAATAAAACAACGAAATACCCTCGACATCGCTTTCCTCCAAGGCCTTTCGTAGACGTTCAACAAGCACCGCCTTATTTCCCTTGGTGTCAAGACCACGCTGCGATAATTCTGCACGTAACTCAACCACTTTCAGTTTGGCTGGATCCATAACTGTTTTTTATATCATACAATCCAATCGTTATCAATATCGCCAGATGATTCCAGCGTCAGGTGAGTCTCTTCACTCCTCAAATTTATCGGGCACACTTATTATTATTATTGTTTTTTTTTTTTAATGAAAATTAGAGGAATGAATATACACACGCGCCAATGACCCGCGCTACCCTCTGAGACAATATGGCGGGATCTCTGAGGCCGGAAAAACCGCCGCGTTACGTATTCCCGTGGAATTTTCACTGGAGTTTACGGCGGGATATGTTTTTTGGTGAAACCGACGCTCACTTCAGTAATCCCCATCCCCATTGGCCGATACAGTCCTTTCCATTGATCTCATTGGCTGTTGGCTTTGAGGGGAGGGACAAGCACCTCCAAACACTTGGCGCCATCTTTTCAATAGTTACGAAAACGCAGAATTCAGAGTGGCATCCTATTTTCCTCGTATTTTTCAATTTTGTTCATCTTTTCGATTGATCTCCAAGAAAAGGAGCAGATAAGATCTCGTTGTTGTTCTCGAGCAGAAATAAATATAGGGTGAAAATATTATATTGCGAGTATTATATGTGTGAGGAAAACTGACTTTTTGACGACTGTCAAATTATTACACAATTACACAGTTATGTAATTTTATTATTATTATTGTTGTAGATAATTATTCAATTTCTTTGTTGGAATTTGGAATAAGTTGATCGTAGATTGCAATTGAGCAGGAATGAAGGAGGAAGAGTTAATCAGGGAAATCAGACAGCTGAGACAATTGCTGAAGGAAAAGGAAGATATCCTGGCTGAGTTGAGGCGGGAAAATATTGTTGTTCAAAAGAATGGTCTGAATAATGAGGAGATCGCTAGATACAGTCGTCAGATTTTAATTCCTGAAATCGGTGTTAAAGGTAATTCACTCGACTGGACGATTAGAAGAGATGAGTCGAATTTTGATGGTCAAATATCGATTATTCGAAAACTAATAGTGTACCAGATAAATCAGCAATTAAGGGCGAATTTCGGTTTCAATTATTTTCATTTATGACTTTCGTATTGATTTTCTCTCGTTTTGTGTTTTTTTTTTGTGGCAGGGCAATTGAAAATTAAAAATGCATCGGTTTTGATCGTTGGAGCTGGGGGTCTTGGCTGTCCATCAGCTCTGTACTTGGCTGGAGCTGGAGTAGGACATATTGGTATTGTGGACTATGATGATGTTGAGATTAACAACTTACACAGACAGTTATTGTACACATCTGATGACATTAGTAGTAATAAAGTGCATGCTGCTGCTCAGCATTTGCAAAGGTATGATATTCTTGATATTTGATATTCTAAGTCCGAAATACTTCTACAGAGGTCCAAAACAATTGTTGTAAACAAATCTAAATCCGACAGAAGTTTTTCATTTGTATTAAATTCCATGTAGACTCAATGGGAAGCTGAAAGTAACTCCATACAAACTGCAATTGGATAGCAACAACATTCAGAATATTATCAGACACTACGACATTATTCTTGACGCAACTGATAACGTACCAACAAGATATCTCCTTAACGATGCCTGTGTTTTCGCTGGAAAGCCGTTGATATCAGGATCTGCCTTGAAATTGGAGGGACAGATGACGGTTTACAATTATCAAGGACCTTGCTACAGATGTATTTTTCCAAAACCTCCACCACCTGAGACTGTGACCAATTGTGGAGATGGTGGAGTTCTCGGTGCAGGTATAAATAAATAGTAAAAATGTCAAAAAGCTTGCACACAAACCAATGAATAATTCTTATACATGTGCTCCTGTCATAGCTGTTGGAGTAGTTGGTGTTTTGCAAGCCCTGGAGGCCATAAAAATAATCCTGAATATGCCTGGAGTGTTGTCTGGTCGATTGCTGCTTTTTGATGCTCATGAGACGACATTCAGAAACATCCGTCTACGATCAAGAAATCCCAACTGTCTAGTATGTGGAGAAACCCCTCAGATAACCCATCTTTTAGACTACGAGCAATTCTGTGGTAGTAAAGCAAACGACAAAAATCCCCATCTCAAGTTATTGAAGAATAACGACAGGATTACTGCGAAGGAATACGAAAACATCAGGAATTCTCATCCCCATTTGTTAATCGACGTACGATCACCGGAGGAGTTCGAAATATGCCACTTGGATAATTCGGTTAATATTCCGTATTCAGAGATGAAAAAGAGTGAGGGCCTGGAGAGGACTAGGAAGATTATAGCTGATAATCTTCAGCGGGATAATTTCAATGGTATGAATTATCGAGAAGTATGATTCGATGATCCTCTGAAATTATGTAATGATCGTTTATTTTTGTAGTTTATATCATCTGTCGTCGTGGAAATGACTCTCAAAGGGCAGTCCACCTCCTGAAAAGTTCCCTGAATGATACGTCAAACAGGATTAAGGATGTGGTCGGTGGTATTCATGCGTGGACACGAGAGCTAGATTCTACATTCCCAATTTATTGAAAATACCAGTTTCAATGTAATAAACAAAAACAATAAAAATCCATTAAATTTCTAAATATTTTTTCTATTCTATGACTAGTCACTCATAGTTACCTGATGAATAGGCATTTACATCTGAATGATAATTCATTGAAAGTAATTCATGAATTATTATTTGTAAAAAAAGATGAATTAATTTAATATAATATAATCAAGTCAATCACTCGACACTGAATATCCATTCAATTATATTTATTCAACTCCTCGGAAGTTAGACTGGTCTCGGGATGTCGATAATGAGCATCAGGAAGATTCCGAAGTTTCTCAGCAGCTTGTTCTGCGGTCAAATCTCGCTGGGACTGGGCTAATAATTCATACCCCACCATGTGCTTCTTTATCGTAGCCGATCGTAGGAGAGGCGGCAGGTACATTCCATGGAATGTCCAGTGGCTTCTGTCATCGTTGATACGAGTGCCAGTGGGGGCCCCATGCCAGCCCATCGAGTAGGGGAATGAGCAGAGGAAGAGATTGTCGTATTTTATGCATAATCTCTTCATTATCACTGCCAAAGACTCCCGTTGGGATTCAGTGAGATCCTGTATCCGAGAGATTTGAGTCTTGGGAAGGAGCATCGTCTCGTAGGGCCAGACTGCCCAGAAGGGCACTAGGACGACCCAGTCTCTGTTTTCAATTACAATTCGTTCCTGGAAAAATAAAACGAGGGGAATTCCCTGAAGGAGAAGATTCTAGTAAACCAGCAGATTACGTCAAATTTTCCAAAAACTGTGAACTATTAAATATTTTTTAATTAATTGGCAGAAATTAACATATCACGAAATTTTCTGCAAAATATGATGACGTGTTTTTCTTCGTTACTAAATTTATAATGTTTCACCTTCTTCTCCAATTCTCTCGTGACGTAATCAATCAAGAGAGGTCTTTTGTGTTTAGAAAAATATTCTCGTAGATTCTTATCCTTCCTGTCTGGCTCAGATGGCATGAAGGAACTCGCCCAGATCTGACAGTGAGGATGGGGATTACTGCAGCCCATTATTGTACCTCTGTTTTCAAAAATTTGCACCCACGTCCACGTTTTTCCCAGTTCTATCATTTCGTTTATCCACCTGAATGGATTAATTATCTGATTAATTGGTAAAAATAAAAATAAAATTATATAACTCACTGTTTAATGACTTCCACTATTTCTTCAATCTTCATGAGAGCTAGCGTTACGTTCGACTTCGGATGAAAGCATAAAACTTTACAAGTACCCCCCACTGGCTCAATTTTAAACAATTCATCGTCGGATTTTTCTATTCGAGGAATATCCTCCAGGAGTGCAGGAAAATCATTGACGAATGAATAAGTTTTATCGTACTTCGCTGTTACCTGAAAGAAATAGTTTATTCTTTATGAATTGCATCGATTTTTATGGGCTCTTCTCAGGAAACAATTTGGCTTCACCTTTCCATTAGCCCGAGGGTTTCCAGGACACAAGGGATTCTGTGGATCATACTCTGGTAACTCCTCGTCAGTTGAGGGCTCGATTTGGCCAGACCAAGGTCTTTTCATTCTGTGTGGAGAAACCAAAACCCATTCTCCTCTCAAAGGGTTGTACCTCACGTGCGGATGTTCTAAGAAATAAATAATAATTCAATTGTCTATGAAACAATTCTCAAACAATTGCCCATTTCTACCACTCATTTCATTACTCTCTCTTATTTTTATTATTTCATATTACCATGATCTTCGAAAGTGTAATCAATTCTTAAAAATCATATCGTTCCTTCATTATCTACCTCTATTGTTAAATAAAAAAAAATACAGGAAATTCGGGTACTGAATAACAAAAAAATTGAAGATCAGGTTTTTTCACAATTTTTTCATATGTTTACACAATATTTAATGATCCTAACAGAATTGAAAAACAAGATTTGAAGGATTCATAATAGAGATATAAAAACTAAAACGAAGAGACGAGAAGGATTTCATTGAATTAATTATTTAAGTAAATCTAATTTTTATTAGATAACCAATTACATCATACCTGTGGCATCAAAAACGTCTGTTCCCTTTGTTGCCATGATTCTAACTCCTTCAAGTCCCAATAACTCTATTCATCTGCCACTTTAATCCCAAAATGTCGTACCTAAACACTATTATCAGTCAGATAACCTTCACAGCTCGAAGGTCAGATTTTCGCGACACGAAATCGAGAGAAATATGCAACAGCAACAGAATGTGAATCCTCAACTAAACAAACAACTTCGAATAGTCCTCAATCCGCTGAATTCATCTCTCAAAAAATAGTCAATTGTTCTCTCCGTCAAACTGTCAATAATAATTACCATGACATAACGACACCCACTGCAATGACCCCGTTATCATCATCACCACAAAACAAATCATTTATTTAAAATTCTCGCCATGAAATTGCAACTGTCACTTTATTGGAGAATTCTCTTGCCAATTCCGTTGTAGCGAGGCTATTGACAACCAATAGAATCAGCTTTCATGCCAATATGTTGGCAGCATCTATTCTGTAAATTCACGACAGTTCCTCCGGATTTTTTTATCGGTTTCTCCGGTGGATTTGGAGTCAAGCAAACATGGCGAGAGGCAGTAGTGCTGGTTTTGACAGGCATATTACAATTTTCTCACCTGAAGGGCGACTTTATCAAGTGGGTAAGTGACTCAAATCGTTCAGCAGAATCCTTGGAATTTTTTGTGGAAATTATATGGAGGTCTACGATTTTTTAAAATGATTATTCGGTGTTTGTGTACGCGATGACACGGCGTGATCAGCACTTTTGAGCTTGGACGAGAGGATCAGTATTAATTTGATGTTTTTGATTTTTATTCCAGAATATGCTTTTAAAGCTATCAACCAGGGTGGACTGACGTCTGTTGCTGTGAAGGGATGTGACACTGCGGTGTTTGCAACACAAAAGAAAGTTCCTGTGAGTTAACCTCTTTGATGTGTTTAGCGGAGGATTTTCATTTAGATGAGAATGGGGTAATCTGGACACGAATTTTCGATAATCAGACGAATCGTTTGAAATCTAATGATCTGACATGATTTTGAGAGGACAGAAATTAAAATTGGACTTAAAATTTATGTCTGGTAATTTTTTGGGTCTCAATAATTTTCTTTGCTGGAAGATAAAGTTGGATTTTACAGGGAATGTCAAAATGTCAAGTCATGTTACCGAAAATAAATAAATAAATAAAATTTTGTTTAACAGGACAAGCTTCTCGATGCCTCCAGTGTGACCCACGTTTTTCAACTGACCGAATACATCGGTTGTGTCATGACAGGGATGATTGGTAAGCGCAAAATGCCAGGATGATTAATTTAGAATTAATAATTGAAATGACTTTCAGCTGATAGCAAATCTCAAGTGCAACGTGCACGGTACGAGGCAGCCAATTTTAAATATAAATATGGCTACGAGATTCCAATTGACACACTGTGTCGTCGAATTGCTGATATCAGTCAGGTATACACCCAGAATGCAGAGATGAGGCCCCTGGGATGCTCCATGATACTGGTTTCCTACGATCAGGAAAAAGGCCCCTCCATCTACAAGGCCGATCCTGCTGGCTATTTCTGTGGCTATCGAGCCATTTCTGTCGGTGCTAGGCAGACCGAGGCCAACTCCTACCTCGAAAAGAAACTAAAGAAGAATCAGAATTACAGTCACGACGAGACTATTCAGCTGGCTATCACCTGCTTGTCAACTGTACTTTCTGTGGACTTCAAACCCTCGGAAATCGAGGTCGGAGTTGTCTCAAAGAATCAGCCGAAATTCCGGGTTCTCACTGAGCAAGAGATTGATAAACATCTCACTGCCATTGCTGAGAAGGATTAAATATCATATTTCTTCAACGTTTGTTTTGATTACACAATAAAATAGATTAAATATACATTTTTTGGGTTAATTCATATCTTTTTTTCATACATGAAATCAATAAAACGAGAATTTTTGCAGCTTGAGCGTTCTTGAAGTTTATTCGATACCATTTATTAAGCTTCGAGTTTTCTGGCCAACAAAAATAAATTACTTTTATGATACTTTTCCCTTTATATACAAACAAAGTGTTTTTTGAGACCAACTGTCATTATAATACGAAACATTATTCACGTCATAGTAGCAAGTGTCGCGAAATTATTTCCTGGAAATAAAATAAAATGATTCGGTCATTGCGCGATGGGATGAGGGTGCTCTGGGGATGTGGTGAACCGTGATAGATACAATTCGGAGAACGTGTGGTTTCAAAAGGAAAACAGCAAATTGTTGATATTTTCTCCTGAATCCACCCATTACCTAATTATTATAAGAATAAATTCTCAATCGACCTAATGTACATAAAAATCTCAACTGTGCTCCATCCCCAATTAAAATTCAAGCCTGAAAGAATTTCCTCGAGAATGATCCGTAAATACTTTAACTCAACTAGGGAAAAATACTTTAAACTCGTCATCCCATCAATTCGGTTTCTCTTCAGTCTTGAAAACATATTTGGTAAGCATTCCATAGACCATTCCAACACTGAGACTCCCGATGATAGCACTTTGTGCAGCGACTCGAAGTTGCACGAGGAAAAGACCTGTCCCCATGTTCTTAGGACGATGTTTGTACTTGTAGGCACCAACGAGTAAAGTTCCGCAAAAACCAGCAATTCCTAAATAAAAAAAAATAATAAAAAACATTTGCATTTACAACGAATTACGTAAGTTACTGCAATAAAATCATTCTACTTTCTCACCAACGAGTAGGAATGGATCGTGCTTGAGCTTGCGGATAGCTGCTGATGATGTTGACTCGTCCAGGATTACCTCTTGACTCGTCATCATGAATTCTTTTGATGTATTTCAAGCTCTGCTATTCTAAAAAAAAAATTAAACGAGCCCAATGAAAATATGAGTTTTACAGCGGATTGCATCATCTGTTTCAACCGCTAAATCATTTTTTCGGTCATTATCCTATGATTTATCCTGTAATTAATAATATTTTGCGACTGGGAGATGATTACCTTGAGGATGAAATTCATGATTTCAGTGTCAAGGCCATCAGGTGAATGGGGTGAATCGCGAATGAATGGTGCGAGAATGTAAATCAAGGTTATGAAACTGTGACTCAGAAGGCGTTTTATTTTTATTAATTTATTTAAGACTGGTGTGAACAATCTTGAGATGGTGCCTTTTAAACATATATTATCGATTTGGGTGAATTTTTTATGCTGATTTTAAGAAAGCTTCATTCATCAGTCATTCATGCATATGTAAGAGAAATGATACTATAATACGTACGAAAATTGTCCCAGCAAGTTAGAACGAGTTCTGTAATTCACGTGTACTTTCAACACCAGCTGATAACCGTCTTTGATCTGATGCTTTCGGTTTTAGTCATGCGCTGAATTTTCTTCAATAGTTGTGACGTAGTTTGAAGCTGGTAATTTTTGTATTTTGAAGGTCAGCGTTGCTCCACCCCGACAGTTGCTTTTACACTGAAGTCTGAACAATAAATCAGCTACAACGCATACCTCCTGCTTCCCAGAATGTGGGGCATCAATCAGGGATATACGTAATAAATAATAATAATAATAATCTGTATGAGCGTACGTACGTGATGCATAAAAAAAGTTTGGGGATTCACTGATCAGTTGATTGGATATCGCGAAATCGATGACTTCTGATTATGTTATTTGTAATTATGTAATTTGGGGAGTAATTCCATTTTTGTTGTTTAGAATATTTCGATAGTTTATTATTATTAATTATTAAGATATCTCGAGATTTCGAAATTAATGAATTGGTCGCGAGCATTTGAAGAAAAGTCGATTGTCTCGATTTTTCGCTGAGGAAATCAAGGCCCAAGGCTGAACTCGAAGGCACTAATTAACTACCAATTAATTATCACTTTAATGCACTTCATTGCTTCGTACTAGGATCTAAAGGAGCAGCGTTCATAAATTTCGACTAATCTTATACTGAAAAAGAAATTATTTTTAGCAAGATAATTTGCAAGTACATAACTGAAAGTTATTCTTTTTTTTAAATAAAATCTCAGATCAATAACTCGTGTTTCTTCGAACGATTTTTTCAAAAAATTTCTTGTCGATAAACCAGAGGCCGAGAAAAATTCTTACCACTCGATCCCTAGTGCCACAATTATATTTGGTGGTTATATTTTGCATCCACACGTGTTCTCCAATGTGTCCAGCTTCGTCTTGACTGGATCATCCAGAAAAATGTCATCGAAGAAATCGAATTTGGCAGATAAAATAAACAGTTTGATAACAGCAGCACCTGAAAATTTTGGGTCTGACGATGAGACAGAGGACACAAGAGCGAAAATCGTTGAGAGATATGAGGAGTCAGAGAGTGATGAGGGTTTGACTTCGTCAATCAGAAGACAAAACATTGATTTGCTGGACGAAGTAGACGAGAGGTAAATCATTCTTCATTTACTGCTATCGATTTTTTTTCATACCACCTATAATTACCATCAATTGAAATTGAATTCCATTTTTACTGAATCCATAGAAAAAAAAAATGTTGACAATATTATTTTGTAATGACTGTGCTCTTAATTGTTGAAATTATGAGATAATTACGATTGATTATTTTTTAAATTTAGATACAAAGGGAAAAAAGTGTCACGTAAAGATCTTTACGGAGAAGAAAGCAGTGATGAAGAAGAAGCTGAAGAGTCTGAAGCATCTGAGGGATCTTCAGACGATAAAAACGCAGAGGAATCATCCGAAGGTGACACAGTTGAAGGATCTGAACCCGAAGAAGATGAAAACGAAGACGAAGAAGAGAGTAACGACGAGGAAGACGCAGAAGTAGACGAGGACAACCCCCTCCGGCGGAATCGAGACCCATCCATTAACTTCAAGAACCTGAACACCAGAAATCTCCACAGGGACATCGATAAAGGTCAAGCAGTGAGGGAACAGCTAAAACTGTGGGAGCATCTTCTGGAGATGAGAATTCAGTTCCAAAAATGTTTAGTCACGAGCAATCAATTGCCCCAGTTCGATTCCTATAAAAAATTTACCCCTGACAAGGAGTTCGTGAAGAATAAAGATGAAACGACGAGTAAATTGACGAATCTGCTGGAGGGTCTTCTGCAGGTGCAAGAGAAGTTGTTCAGAAATAATTCTGAGACGAAGAGTTTATTATCCAAAAAAAGAGGAGAGGAAAAAGAAGAGGAGAACCCCATGGACGAAGAAATTGCTTCAGATACTGATGAAGAAGTGGAGGCAAGCGAGAGAGAAAAACGTGAGGATAACGAGGAGGATGTTGAACAGCCCTTGAAGAAGAAAAGGAGAACATTGAAAGAATACGAAAGTGTTCTCCACGAGCGTCACGAAAATGTCAGATCCTTCAGGAACTCAGTCATTCAAAAATGGAATGACAAGACCAAATTGGCAGCTGGAAATGCTACGAAAGGAACTAGTCAATCAGTAGTAAAACAAATAGAATTCCTTCTTAATGACAAATCAAAGCTGATAAAACGTACGCAGTTGAAGAGATCAGAGTACAAAGTAGCTGGGAAGGAATCGACAGAGGACACTGATGAGGATGGAAGACGTACTCAGGAGCATGATACTGAGATCTACGATGACGATGATTTTTACCACCAGCTGCTGAGAGAATTGATCGAGCAGAAGTCAGCGGATATCACTGATCCCATTCAATTAAGCAAACAGTGGATTCAGCTGCAAAATATGAGGAGCAAGATGAAGAGGAAAATTGATACGAGGGCCACCAAAGGCAGAAGAATCAGATACAACGTGCATACGAAACTGGTGAACTTCATGGCACCAATCACTGTGAATGACACTTGGACTGATCTAGCTAAAAACGAATTGTATAATTCGTTGTTTGGAAGAATTAAAGCTGTGGAGGGCACCAGGAGTGAATCTGCTCAGGATTCGTAATTTTTAAAAATAAAGATTGATTAGAATGTTAAATTAATGAATAAAAATCACGAATAAAAGAAATTTTACAATAACCTCACCTCCCATTACTTCAATTACTTCAATTAATCCAAAATATTTATCAAGATTCCCGAAAAATCGAAGAATAATTGAAGAATAATAAAAATATGAAGAAAGATGTTGATCGTGGGTTCTTTATGGACGGGAAGGGAATTGTAGGCCAATTACTGTTTCAATTATGTGAATCATATTTATTCATTACTTATTGTTATTGTTGTAGCTCCGCACATTTTTTCTGAGCCGCTGCAATCTCCTCCTCACTGACGGTGGGTTCGATTCCACATGCGATCTCCTCAGCCCTGATGAACGCTAGTTTCTCGGCTTTCTCCTTGAAAAAAATTATCTGCTGTGCCTCGAGCTCTGCCCTGTAAGCTTCTAGTTTTTTCTGTCTTATTTCGTCGCAGTGTGCACTCGTCAGTTTTCTTAGGGAGTCCTTACGCGTCGGATTAACCCAAAGCTCAGGGAACGGTTTATAGACGATATTTAGTTTCTCCAATACCCACTCGAAACGTTTGTAGTCCCATCTCCGTAAGTCCCCGAGATATTTTTTTCTTTTCTCGATCAGTTCTTTGAGAAAGACTTTCGTTTTTTTGTTTCGTGGGTGAATCTCCTGCATTTTCTGCAGGTGACGAATTTCGCTGGTCATTATTGCCACTGGAAGGAGATTTAAAATTCCAGTCCTTTAATCTCTTCGAAAATTTTTTAATGTTAGAAATCAGCTGATGAAATACAAATTTTTTAATTCAAATATTGCAGTGAATCTCCATTGACTAATTAAGTAATTATTTCACTGAAAAATACTTGACTGTTAAATCGGTTAAATAATTTAATAGACTTATTATTCGATTTAGGGTGGGATGAACCAATTCTAGGTCTAATTAAACGTACATGTTACTTCCATTGATCTGTAATCCATGTCGTGTCTTTTGACTAAGTTTCTCAATTTTTCGTGGTTCATCTTCTTAGTTTCCTGGTTGGACATGTACTCAAGGGTGAAGAGCTTCTTAACGATTTCTGGGGCACTGAAAGTAGACAACAAGTTCATTAGAAATTGTAGACGATTGTTTATGAATTTTACGTACTCTTTGAGTTCCTGGGACTGATTATATCGACATGCCACTTCGTCAGCTGAAGTTTTCACTGTCGACTCCAAGTAATCTCCACTCTTTGAAGGATGTGTAGATGGAATTTTTTCTGGTCTCACCCATTTTATCTTCAAATTCGATTTTAATCCCCTTGTTATACAGCCTCCATTTTTGGCAAAGGTGTTGACAATTAGGGATGCACTTTTAACATTACTTAAGAGTGAATTCATGACGGTTTTCTTCTAGTAAAAACGATGGGAAATAAAATTCACCCCGTCGGCTTGATGGTCCCTGAATGATTGGTGGTAATAAAAATCGAAAGAGGAGAGAACTATCTGACCGACAGCTGTTTTGTTGAGAAAATCGACGAGACTGTCCCCTGCTGTTTCCCCTTGCCCCTCATTATAGTTTTATTTTTACAGTGATGCAAAAATGGTTATTCCTGGCTGAATGTCATGTCCAAATATTGTTATTCCCTCGAATCCCCACAATCTCCAGTGTAACCTCCCTCAAGTTCTATCAGGGAACTTCCAGATATCCACGAAAATCCGAAAAATGAGATTACCCTGTTTAGTGATCCGATGAATTCATCGATATCCCATAAAATTTGGAGTCAACAATGAATGTTCATCCAAGAACATAAACAATCTGAATAAACTTGGAAACAAATCGAGTGCAAGTACTTCATCAAGGTAATCTTTCTGAAGAATCCTCTCTCATGCTTCAACAAACTCAAATAAAATGCAATTTTATTTTATGGAATTTTGACCAATGAAATTGCTGATCTGATGGAAATCTTATCCCTCACTTCGATAATGACACCTGAATTATTCCACAGATGCCCTTCAAGTTTCACCTGAAGAAGTCCCGTCAGTACAACGTGGTCTCCAAGAACCAGTACGTCATCTGCGTGGAACTCCTGGACCACACGTCGATAGAATGCACACTCTCAGTAGAGAGTCTGGGCCAAGAGTGCCTAGACAACATAATTCAACGACTGGGTCTCTCCCAGCCCGAATTTTTTGGACTCCAGTACATCTGGAGACATAGTGACTCCTCCCTGCGTTGGATCGACATGGACAAGCCCTTGAAACGTCAACTGGAGAAGGAAGCCAAAGGTTTCAACCTCTACTTGCGTGTAATGTACTACATAACCGATGTACAGCTGATCCAGGACGAGATGACGAGGTACCACTACTACCTCCAGCTGAAACACGATGTCCTTGAAGGCAGGACCCAGTGCAATGCTCGACAGGCAACACTTCTCGCCAGCTACTCCATGCAAGCAGAATTCGGGAATTACGACTCTATTAGACACACTGTCGAGTGCCTCCAGCAATACAATCTCTTTCCAAAAATAGTCCTAGACACCGAGGAGGGTGGTAAAGAGGAGTTACTCACTTCAGCAATTTGTCAGTACAAGAGCCTCTCAGGTGTAACTCAGGCTGTGGCTGAAGAATTGTACATTTCCATCGCAATACAGCTGGAGGGATATGGCCACGAAACATTTACGGCTAAGGACGAGGGAAATAATCAAGTAATCCTGGGAATTTCCATCAATGGCATTATGGTCGTCAGTCCTGGCACGCAGACAACTCAAATCTACAGGTGGAAGGACATCAGCAATGTTATTAATCATAAAAAAACCTTCAGGATAGAGTGCCAGACTGAACACGAAGAGGCGAAACAATTTTTATTCAGTGAATCAAAGAATGCCAAGTACATGTGGAGGCTCTGCATCGCACAGCACACGTTTTACATGCAGCACCAGGAGTCCAGGCCTTGTGAGAGAATAACTAGTTATTTTGAGAGTGATACCAATGACTGCAATGAGTCCACTGAGCAGGCGGCATCTGTCAATCTCGAGGGTAGAATTCAGGAGGACATGAGGTGGACTAGTTACAATGATCTGTCTGCATCACCTTATCCTCCCGTATCTGTATCCTCTACTGAGTTGAGCAATTTGAGGGCTTTGCTCCCTTCGTACAGACCTGCTCCTGATTATGAAACTGCGGTTCAGATGAAATATCATAATGGAAATCCTAGGGAACCTTATTATGCTAATCAGGAGACTATTGTGGGGGCTGAGCTTAATTGCTTGATGGGAAATGTCAGCAATCCCGGGGGGTACTGAGAGGAATCATCCCGAGACTTTGCTTTCGTCTTTTCGGTGATTGATCGTGAAGGAAATAATACTTTGGTTTTGAAAATATTTTTTTTGTCCTATCTTCCTGTTTATGGAAGATACTAGACTCTTCATGCAGCAGATAATAATGAAAAAAATGCCTTCAGACAATATATTTAAAAAAAAACAGTTTTCTAAAATATTAAAGTGCCTTTTACGAATTAAAAAAATTAGGTGCCCTGAAAGAAAATTGGAAAACTATTGTATATTGAGGATTACTCAATATATAATTTAAAGGAAATATTTTCATTATAATATTCACATCTCATGAGTAAATAATCAAAATTATTTGAACTCTCAGATATCGACTTGTAAAATTGATAAATTGATAATCCCTACAGATCAATTCTATCAAGAGCACCAGTTGGCCACTGACAATAATCGTAATGTTTTTTTTAATAAAATATTTCATCACAATTTATTAAGCATTGACATGAATTCTAACTGCTTATTTCAATCTGTGCTTCCTCGATTGATTTTAGAAGAGCTTGGGAGTCTGGTTTAGCTGCAGTGGCATAAATCCTGAGTCCCAGTTCTTTGAGTGCCTCTGCTGTCACTGGTCCAATAGCCACTGCTTTTATTCTGGCGATCAAATTATGTTTTCCAGCGATAGCCATAACATTTTTAGCAGTTGAGGGACTGAAGAAGACAGCTATTTGAGGAGATACCTTCATAATATCGAGCAGATCGTTCTCTAAGGTTTCTGAAGGCCGAGTCTCATATGCTGTTATTTTCTCCACTGATATTTCAGCCTCTTCCAGCATTCTTTGAATAGTCTCCCGAGCTATACCACTGCAAGGATATAACAGGGATTTATTGTCTCTGTTATGATGAGATATTATGAATTTTGCGAGCTCCTGGGCATTTCCACTCTCAGAACCCATGCAGTTGGGTAAATCGAGAGTATTCCTGACTAGATTCTCAGTTGCCGGACCCACGCAATACACTGGCAACTCCTTCCAGAGAGTTTTCAAGGGATTTTCCGAAATAGATTTTTTTATAGCTTCTACAGCTCTTTGGCTGGTGAGAATTAAACCTGAAACCAGTGAATAATAATTACTTAATTAACTTTGCCGATAGCTTATGGAAATTCTGTACTAAAAATCAATTTATTAAATTGACGAATAATGGTCCAGGAAGATTGATTGACTGAGGAAATAATTGTTTGTCATTACCAGAATAGGATTCAGGTGTTTCTAGACAATCTCGTAATTTCTGGGTATTCACAAAGGAGAAGGAAATAGCTGTCAGGACTTGACAGCTGTATCCAGCTCCTTCGAAAGCTGTCGCATATGAGTCTTGGCCTTCGGTCAGTCCTTTTTCGCCTTTACACAGTACCACATCTCTACAGATTCGTTCCATAATTAATAATAACTAAAAACCACTTGTTTCGTACCGACCCTGACGAAAAATTTTCATCTTAAATGAATTACTGTTTAATTACAATAAACTATAATTCATCTGTTGACTGAACACTTCGATAGGTGATGCATCTCTTGGGGTACATAACCTCAGTTTACTCCCAAATGTTAATTGTTGTTGCTGTAAAAACAGAATGATAAATGCTGATTGATACTAGTACAAATTGTTCGGAAGGTGTCGTAATCGATAAGAAGTGAAGTGGTAATTACAGTGAGTGCTTGATTCAATTGATGATAATCAATTGGAGCAACGACAAATTTCTGGTGTTTACTGATAATCAGATGTGGTAATGAATTCAAGAACTGAAAGGACGAACACCGTGATTGAAGAATAACGAAATTGGTTGATAAGGGGATTGAAAAATGCCGACAGTAATCGCCCTGGATGTTTCCTTGTCGATGAGACGTCCTGTCTCCACAGGACATGATGCACCTTCTAGTGAAACTGTAACTAGACATCATCTCGCTGTACAAGGAATTAATCATATTCTCCATTATCTACAAGTGAATTCTAAATTGGAATTCGTGTCACTGGTTGTTTTTTCGTCGACGTACGAACTGCTGTGCCCATTCACTCGAGATTATGACATGATGAGGTCAAGACTGCAATCGATTGAAGAACGAGACAAAACTTGTATTGAGACTGCTCTTCATGGGATTAATACAGTAATAATGTCAGAATGGGGCAATACAACAGCTTGTCAAATAATTTTGGTGACTGATGGCAATCCGGGGGTCGGACCCATGTCCCTGGGGCATTCTCTGAATCATATGCACCTCGAGAGAGAGTCCAATCCATTCCCACTGCCTTTTCCTTATCCTGGAAAGCTCAATATTGTCTGCATTGCACCTCCACAGGACTCTGGACTAAAGTACGGATTGCCCCTTTATCAGAGACTGGTCGATTTAGCTGGTGGAGAGAGTGCAGTTCTAGTACCTGATGGACAACTTTCAAAGACAACTGTCAATAATTGTTTCCAGAAGTTAGCAGAGTCCAATTATATTTCATTCCAGGGATATCTCAAGTGTGGAAGTTTAGGATCGAGAATTCTTTTGTCTCCACCTCCAATGTCGTACAATAAGAAAACAGATTTCGAGTCTATCTCGGGATTGGCTTTGGCGAAAACTCTGGAAATTTGTGGCTTCATCTCGGTGGCAGATGTAGGGAGTCCCAGCTCAATATCAAGGCATCTGATTCTACCGTTGCCAACGGAAAAAACCCCAAGCATGCAGGGTATCTCCCTGGATGAGGAGTCTGATGGTGAGGACAATGGTGACGAGGGGAAATCTCCTTCGTTTTGTGTACTCCTCCATGGAGCATTAAAAGTTGAGAACATGGCGGCTTTGTGTTTATTAAACAACAATTGGTATGGATTCATATACTCTTGGGCAGACACAAAAAAAAAATCAAATCTCATGCTGACTCTCCTGGAGCCAGGGTGCGACGTTGTACCCTGGCTGGGGAATTTCAATGATTTGGGAACCATTGATTCGGCTTCGAAGAATGTTGAGGTCCTGAGTTTTCCCTTGAAACCAGCTGAGAAGAGAAGCTACTCCCAGAATGCTCCATCATGGATCAGACAGGTTGGACTCCAGTCAGATATTCAGAAAATCCTCAGGCATGCCAGAAAACTCCCGGAGAAGACCCAGAATTTCTATAAGGTATGTATACTAATATGCATTTAATTGTGGTAAACAAATTTATTTAATAATTAATTATATATTTAATTTATATATCTTATATATAAGGACCCTGTTGATTAAACATCGAACTCTTCCCTTTTTTTTGCAGGAATTAAATAGATTGAGGCGTGCAGCATTGTCTATGGGATTCGTCGAGCTCTTGGAGGGGCTTGCATCGATATTCGAGCGCGAATGCACCCTTCTCCCCCCAAACCTTCACTTGGACTGTACAATTCAGATGGGACATGTTGCAGAAATGTTGAGGAAACCTTATTCTAGAGAATTGAAAAATAATATTACACCAGTGAGGACTCAATTTCACAAAGGTGATCAATAAGGAACTTAACTCTCTCGAACTGAAGAGAATATTTTTGTACCATCTGTGCATCAATCGTCATTAATCAAATAAATCAATAATAATTTTTTTATTAATTAAAGTATTATCATTTTTCACTTGTAACTCAATTTTTTTCTGTTTAGCAGAATAATAATTTTTTGATAATGAAGAAAATGCAAAATTTTATTCACGTCAATTACTACCCGATGAAATGTTAGATATTTTTTGATCTATAGAAGAAAAAATCATTAATTTTGAATTTCGAATAATTCGTGGATTTTCTTCAATTGGTGGAATTCGATTGGCGCAACTGTATCAACCAATCCGGAACGGAAATGTAAGTGTTAAAAAAAAGGATTGGATAATCCTTTGTATCAAGATTGTTTACGTTAGAGCGCAGACAGTGAAGAAAGAAACTTAAAAAATTTCTGAATAACGGACATTGAAGGCATTTGATATTGTTCGATTAACGTACAGGCGTTTCAGTTAATTATCAGTCGTATTCACCTTCTCTGAAAATAAAAAATGGTATTCCGAAGGAAAATGAGAGCATCAAACACTGAGGAGGCAAAGAATACAGCAGTGGTAAGCGAAAATTCCCCGAATTCTCTCTACTAAGAGCTCTAACCTTCATGAAAATCCGTCGTTATGTCTTTGTTCATCTGAATGTCGAAGGTTCTTGAGGTGAAGGACAAGGAGACTGTCATCAATGCTAATCTCCAGGGCAAGGTCGGAGTGAAGAAATCACCTGGGGGAAATTCTCCAGTTGGTATTCGTAGAAGTAGTCGACGCAGGAAAGAACCGGCGAAATATTTCTCTCCATCCCCTTCTCCAGGTCCTTCCAGGGTATCCATTTTCTCAAAGACCCCAGAGAGTTCACAAACAGAGGCAGACAGTGACGATACCGAGGAGAAAACTCCCCGAGGACCTAAAAAGGCTATTAAAAAAAAGAGAAAGATAATGAAACTCAAGAAAGAACAGATTAGCCCGAAGATGACTGATTACGAGAAAATGATCCAGAAGAACATCAGGGAGCGAGAAGCCTTTGTAATTGTGACAGAATATATATTTTCTGTTTTTGTTCTCTCTCGCGATAATTCGTAATAACATGAGATTATTCATTTATTTCAGCTTGCACATATGTTGAAACGGGAGGGCAACTCGTTCGAGGAGGAAAAGAATATGAAGACCTCCAGGAAGACGAAACGACGTGATTCGTCGACGAATGATGATGAGGAGATCGTGCAGCAGCCAAAGAGGAGGAAGAAAGAGGCCACGAGAAAGAGGAAGGCCACATCTGATAATGAGGATGGGGAGGAGAGTGACGTGGGGCACAACACGAGGAGCAGAGGAGCTGCAAAGAGATCTAGAGGTATTTACGAGGAACATGGCTCCAGTGGTGGAGATGACACTCTCCCGGATGGAGCTAATGTCGATGAGGGGTCTCATAGGAAGAGGAAAACTAGGAGTTATGAAAAAGCGAGGAGTAATGCGGTTGTCACCAAGGGATTTGCGCTGCTGGCAGAGAAGAGGGAAGTGCTCAGAGCAAAACGTACTCAGCATGTTGAAGGAGGGTCTCTTGGTAATGAACAAGACACAGGGAAAAGTGATGACGACACGAAGGACGAGGACTGCGTGGGGGGCGACTTCTCGTCTGAGGAGCAAGAATCGTATGTAGATGACGAGCCTGAAAGTAGAAAGAGGCAAATTGTCACTCCAGGTGAGAATTTGAAAGATAATGGAGAGGGAGGAGAAGATTTTGTGACTCTTGGTGGAGAAAGTCAACTTGGGACTCCAGAAAAATCCACTGTTTTTGGAGAGAAAATTGAGAAGGTTGAAAGTGATAATCAAAATGTTATCAGTTCTTCCCAAGATAATATTAAAAATTGTGGAGGAAGCAATTCTGACGAAGGAATGGATCCATTTGCTGAAAGGCAAAGCAATGTTGAGACTTCTCACATGAAAGAGAGTGGAAACTCTGATGAGACTGAGGAAGAAGCTGCTGTCAAGGAGAGAAAGGAGAGAAAGAGTAAGGAGTTCTTGGAGGAGAATAAAGAGAATTCTCTCCCTGAGGAGGCACCACGCTGCCCTAGTCCTGGAGAATAATCTTGACGATATGAGTATATTCGAGTATATTCACGACTTGCAGAAGTCGTGAGTCATGCAATGTTCTGACTTTTTACCTACTTTACTAAACAGGAGGAGAACGGAGGAGAATAAATTTTAAGAACTTCGCCGATATATAATTGGGAATTCGAGATTAATCAGATTTGTTTGATTAATCATATTTCTTCATTATCCTCTTTTTTCGATCCGGATAATAAGAACTGGAGTAACAAGAAAATCGTTACCAAAAGGAACATAAAAATGAAAATTTGTTGACGAATTTTCAATTATTAAAAGAGACTCGAATCTCTGTTATGTTTCGTAAATCTCGTAATTCTCGGCGAGAGCTACTTTTTGGTTAATTATTACTTATTTACTAGCTTTCGATCTGAAAGAATAATAAAAGATCTGAAAATTAATTAAAGATAGAAATAAGTGAAAAGATCTGGATGACAGTATCCAATTTATTGAACAATTAAAAAATTGATCACATTTAGATATAAAAGATGGAAATGTCACTTAAGATACTTGAGCAATTGAAAAATTAAACTCAAAATAAAAATGCCTTCGAAAAAAATCGAAGACTGCGGAAGAATTATTTCCTTCCTACATAAATTTATTTCAAAAAGTATAGTTTCTCACATTTATTTTGAAAAGAAAGAAAAGAAGGAAATCGGAGAGCTCGGAAGAGATTAATGGGCTTTCTCCAGATTTTCAGTTGCACAGCAAATGATCGAAAAAATTCCTCGGGCATTTTCATTCGCGGAATAGACGTCGAAATCAGGAACATGAATGAATAAAGTTCGATGAGGCTTGATGAGAAGTGATTGATACAACGTGAATTCACAGAGATATCTCCCTGCATCGTTCGACACACATGCCACGCAGTCGTACTCATTTCCAACGATTCGACAAATTTCATTGACATCGAAGCCAACATCGAGCCTCGTACACGTCATTTCACTGTCACTTGGACATTTTTCGACGACATCTTTTCTCGTGTATCCACTGCTGCAGGCTCCACTCTCTATCGTCAGGCATTTAGCTTTATGAGAGACCCCAAGGTGCACAATGAACTGGAAAAATTGTTCTAACATTTAAAAAACAATTGCAGTGGGAAGCTTCAATGGGGGATTTTTTTATACATTATTTATTTTTATCCAATTGCACTGACTATTTGAAATTATTTATCAATATCTCCCCGAACTCCATTCTTCAAATCGTAAATTAATAATGATATTAGAAGGTAATTAATAATGATATTACCAATGGATTGTGCTCTTTCCAAATTTCAGGAATTCTCGACGACACATGATTGTAGACAACTGGAATTTCTTCAATAATCAAATCGATGTTATAACGATTATTTAGCTCTCCTGAATATTTATCTTTGAGTAATTTTGCAGCTTCCCAGCTGGCGTTAACAGTGTGCCCTGTAAAGGGTCCAAAACCAGTCACAACTATTTTTCTTTTCTCAGTCATTCTCGTTAATTATATCGGTATCACGAAATTGAATCGAAGTACCCAGTGGAATTCGTTATCTCGTTTGCAAAAATCATTGTACTGTAGATCGTAGTCAACTGATAAGGGTAAGGTATGACACCAAAACAGGTGACAAGTACCTTCAGACGTCGTACGTAGCGCTGTACAACGCCTTCTCCTCATGCGCTTTTCGTCCCCACAATTCAGCGATTTCTGGCGTTTACATTTGAATGCCAGTCGAGTCGTTTAATTTTTTTTCTTTCAAACTGACATGAAAAAAATAAGGTATGGCATAAAAATTGTCTACAAAAGCATAAATGAACAATGGGTATATGATTATTTCAATA